CAGATGCGCGGAGCGCGCAGACCACACACGCACAGCGCAGACTCATCACCCGTCGTGCCCTCACTCCGACGGCGGCCACGTTGTCACGTTCACGCCGCCACACGGCTCTCCAGCACCTTGGTATGGCCCTCTCCAGCCCCATGCGGGCGGTTGGAGAAGGGCACCCCCCTCCTCCCGCCCTTCTCCCTTTCAATTTACGGGCTTCTTGTCTTGATATACAAACTATCTTTATATGGATGGAAGGGGCTGGATAAAATGGCAAACGAAATTGTAGAATTTCGCGATGGGCATCGCAGTCTTTCCTTTCACGCAAAGTGGATGAGAGAGAGAGAGTTTGAGCAGGATGCAGTATAGACAGACGCATCTAATACCATTACTCATTCCATTTAGTATTTAACATTTGGTTAAGGTTTGTTAAACAGTGACTGTCGTGCACTGTTTTTGTATGCTTCCCCTTTAAACAAGGTCACCCCACAAAGGCTGACCCTGATGGAAAGAAATCTTCAGGGAGGCAAAGATAAATAAGAATTAATGACAATAGCCCCTGAATCTATAACTTGCTATAATCCAAATTAATTAATTAAAATGTAATGAATTAATAAAATATTGAGCGGTATTTGTGAACACATTATAATACTGTATATTAAGCACATGTTATTGTAATTAACTCAAACTTATGAATAGCCCTTTTTTCTTAGTTTAGACGTGATGAACATTATGTTAACGTTATATTAAAGCACCGTAAATTTCACACACGTTGTCCAGATGCATGTCTTTTATTTTCAAAGAATATAATCGTCGGTGCAAACGTGCATCAATCTTCCCCCTTCAAAATGTCCAGGACAGCTCTTATAATAAGAACATCACGTTTGGAATACTGGGCTTGGACGCAGTGGCAATGACAGTATGCCCGTGCGTCAATTAATAAGGGCTCTGAGGAAGAATGATTTTTGTGAAGAGTGTCCTGGCATTTAGCACGGTAGAACCCACGGCTAAATGCCAAGACAGACTTCTCAGCACCGTGCAACAGGAAGTTTGAGTAGAGGCCACTGAAAAATGCGGTTTACAGCACTGCTTCTTAGCATTCTCATGTGTGCCTTTGTCATGGTGATTTAATATTTGCTTTGATGTCCACCACGCCAGCTGGATTTTGCCTTCCGCAAAAAAAATTAAAGTCGGTAATTTTTAAGTAATGCTTTTGACTTCTTGCTGTGACGACTCATGGTATTCCAGCGAGTTCCAATTGGATTCGTATTACAGGAGTGGATGCACGATTAATCAGCTTTAGACATTGTGCTTTGGTGTGTGCCATTATATTAATTGGAAACATTTATAACCACCAAGTTAAAAAAACGTTATTTCCCAAAAAAAACAATCTTGCATTCACTGTGCAGTAGGTTGCAGCCTTCATTACTTAAGACGGCGAAATTTCGCCTGTCATTTTAATTTCTCATACCAACAATTTGTACCACGTGGCATGAGGAACTTCTGCCGCTTTAAAACGTTGATAGCGGCATTCAGTTTCGTGGCACACTGGGATTCCGGTATTCAGGAGCACGACACCAATATACCGGGATAGCAAGCAAAAAGTAAACTGCTTCAGTTTCCGATTCAGTGGGGAACTTGTCCCAGTGAGACTCAATGGTTGCTGTTTGTTTTTGGGGCACTCTTCCACAGCCCACACCAGCACGTCGCTGTGGCCTACATTTCTGTATAGAGGTTAACGGTGCAGCCCTGAAATGTTTTGCTCACGCCACTGCTGATAGACGGGCTTCCACGAGAGAGAGAGAGCTCCCACGAGCTATCTTTAGTGGGAGCTCTTGTGGGGGCCGACGTCTGCAGGGCGGTGGGGCGGACGTTTGCCCCTTCCACTCCGTCCTCCACTCCCTCCTCCACCGCGTCGATCGGCTCCCGCCGGGTCCCTGCCGGACCCCCGCCGACCGGGTGATCGTCCCCCCCGTGCTGGTGCTCTCTCTGAGGGACATGGCTGCAGCGCTGGCTCACCGCTGCACGGGGTTACTCCGCACACGCCCACGTACACCACCACTAATACGAAGGTGGCTGCGTGCACACGCGCGCCCCTGCAGGTGCTTGTTTCACACAAAGGCTCGCGCTAAGGCGGCTGTATGAATATGCGCACGCATCTCCGGGTGGTTAAACCCTAATCTGCTTGCACACAAAGGCGAGCGCTAAGGCGGCTGTATGAATATGCACGCCAGCGGGTGGTCGTTCGCTACCCCGCAACCGCCCTAATACTCGCGCGGCACGGCTGCATGGACTCGCGAGTGTCGGCGGCCGTTTATGTTGTAATACACGCACGCCTCACACACACACTCAAATTACCAACACCACAGCGAGGTTACCCCCACACACACAAATCACACTGCACTGATACTCTGTACTTAAGTTTATTAACGGCGTGAATACACACTACCTGGGGGGAATATTTTGCGAGAAGAGCTTAGCCTGACTCTGCCTACGAACCCAGTCACTCAAACGTCCTACCACGTGCCTCGAAGCTGGACTCACGGCATCGCACGGACGCTGTGAGAGTTGGAGGGAGAAGGACGAGAGAAAACTTTACCTATCACTGCCTCGTAGCAGCACTCGCTGGCATCACATGGAGGCTGCGAGAGGCTCGAAGATGCAGGACGGCAGGGAGTGGGTCTTGACGGCCCGGAGGTTGAAGACAACTGACCAAAATCGTCCTGGGCCACTCTTTTTATCCCTTAAACTTCAAAGGCCCAGTGACGTCGCCCCGCACAGCCAATCGTGCGCTTACCTGTGGTTACCGCCCCCCTGTTACCGTGGACTCTGTGTTGTCAGCCACCCATTGTCCCTCGTTGCCCATTGTCTGGAAGGGCGCCCGGCTTACGCTTTTCTTGCTTAATATTCCGCCCTCCGTCCTCCCCCCAATGTTGTGAGTGACTCATTGCGGTTGGCCCAGTGAACCTTTCCTTTCTGCGCCCATACAAGTTGAAGCCAATTTTAGGGGCATCGCAATGTAACCTGTCCTGCGAGGGTCGGCCAATCTCCTGGCACCGGGAAACCGTGGGACTTCCCTTCTAGGGGCCTTTCGGATTAAAACCCGATGTGCCAGGCAATCCCCCGCCAGGACACTGCGTGGGTGCGCTGCGTGCGGGTGGCGTGTTTAGTGCGGGGGCCGGGAGGGAATCGCAGCGCTTGCGGAGTTTCTCCGCGGTCATGGCACCACACTCTCGGGAGCTCCCCGAGGGGCGTATTTCAGCCTGCTCGTCCATGCTGGCCTAACATGTTGGAAGAGGTGGGGCTACCCACACTTTACCCCATTCACAAGCCACCTGCCAATTGAAACATTGTGGTGATCCCATTTATACTATGTACTAGGTGGAAAAAAGAGAAGTAGAGTAACAACATTTAAAAATATTTACTTTGGGTTACTGTAGCCCAGCAGTTCTTAAGCCATGCGGTTTGAAAGCCTTTCAGCCTGTGGCATGGATACCGTGCAGAAAAATATATGAATGTGTGTATGAGGAATGCCAGTGGCACGATGCAGCAACACAGACTAATACGCAACATAAACCAAATGCCTACATTGACTCTTGTCCTTCCCCTGCACCTTTTATTATCAAGGTTGGCTGCATACATTGCGAAAGAAGTTCAACGTACATGTGATTTATGTTGCAATGTGGTTCCTGTTGGCTTAGGGTGGGGGAAACCAAGGGGGGGGGGGGGGGCGGGCAGTGTTCTTGAGTGGGGGGGGGGGGTCACCAAAAATGTTAAGAACCACTGGCTTAGGCTATCTCAAGCCAGTGCTTCTGTCCTTTGGACACACTGGCACCTGCCTTAGAAATGTTCAAATCCCCGATCAGAGGTCAATTGACGCGTTTGCCACCTGTCCTGGCGTTTCCTAGGATTGTCCTCTTTTTCAGATCGTCCTCCTGAGAAATACATTTTTAAAAAACCCAAGCTGTTGTAAATTGCATTAAAATACCAAACTTCCAACTATGCATTTTATGTAATTCTCCCCTCTTGAGATACAGGTTGTTTCCCTCGCTTTATGTGGTAGATGCATTTCAAGAAAAGGGTGCACGAAGCGACACAGCACAAGACAGCTGCCTGCTGAGTAGCGCATACAAAGACAAAGCTCCCCCGTATAGCCTTAACAGACTGTAGGGGCAAGTGCTGTTAGCGAGCACCTATAAAGGCCGGCACGGTACACTAGGGGGTGGGTGGCCAACACCACGCCCGGCCGCCTTTGTCTCCCTAGCGGCGATGTTTACACATCGCACCAGGTACTCATTTGAGGCTGAGTCGATCTAGGGGAGGCCCAGGACCGGTTCAGATAATCGTCACTGGTGTTGGCCGTGAACGGGAATCGAACCCGGGTCGCCAGGTTCGTAGTGCAGCACGCTAACCGCTACACTACCGCTCCCCATATAGCGAATTTTGGGCAGCAAATAGGTTTGCCGCATATACACGAAATCGCACGAACCGAACCCACGTAAAGCGAGGGAAACCTATATTCTTCTTCTGCCCATTTTCTTCCTGGGTTATTTGGTACCTCCGAGGTGGCAACCCTATCAATCACCATGGGAGGTGCAAAGTCAAAGGTCAGAGTGATTTTCTGCGTTAATGAGAATTGAGGCGGTGATCATCTCCCGTTCACAGTCCTGAGCCAGTGGTCAACATTTCACATTCCTACTGCGGGGAGAGGATCTCTCCAAACGACACCACTCTTAACTCCCCCACAGTAGGTACACATTGTACCGATCCTGGAGGGTTGATGAGCTGTGTCAACCCCCAAACTGCACCTCCGATTAGCACGGTTGGCTGTGTACGGTGCGAAAGAAGTTCAACGTGCAACCTGGATTTGAACTCGCAATTTTCTGATCACGAGACCCTGAGCACATGGTTTGTTGGACGTTGTAGTAAAACGTTACATTGTTTCCACGAACCCACTGAATACAACACATTAAAGGTGATATATTGCAAATAATGCACATGAAGACAAAATTCGGTTTATTATAAAGTGGGCATTTATTATTTCAGACATTTCATACATTATTCTTAAAATACACTAATATTGGCGGTACAAACTATCTTTCAGGCCACAGAACAAGTTTGGCAGCTTTCAACAATGCAGTAAAAAATACCGTATGATTTCTTCAATGAACCGTATATGTGAAATGATTACTGTACTCGGTGCATCCTGATTGTTTGCTGATTTTTAACTGAAAGCGTACGCGCAATGTGCGCGTTCTTGTTTTCCATTTAAATCTCACTTCGCAGAAATAGTCGTGAGCGTTCTTGTTGGAAATGGGATGTTTTCATATGTACAAATCAAAGATTTACCCATTGATGTTCTCGTGTAAACAGGTTTCAAATCAACAATGGACGAATTGGGTAAAACAAGGATACATTTGATAATGCGATTTGTGTGGAATGTACTTTTTCCATCTGCTAACATTTTTCGGGGGAAATATCTTTAATGAAAACATTTCAGTGGGGAATTTAACTGACTACATCATCCAATGAATTATTTCACACAAGCATAGTAGCCTTTAAAAGTTGGTGAAAGGCCAATATATTTTTCCTACTGAAATACTTATTCAATCCAACCTTGGTGAGGTCACCTCCATTACTCATCACCCTCAATACTCACCACCTCCCTGCTCCTGTTCAGCTGATTTCCCTTAAAAGTTCTGACTTTTATGTGCCTCCATATTTCTCTTTTAATGACCATAAAGTTAACGCCATCCAGAATAAGCGACATGCTAATTTTTTTTTTTGGGGGGGGGGGGGAACATGGCATCCAAATATGACATGTAGAAAGACCCGACACATCCACATTAAAATATGGAAATTGGTGATCGGGAAAGAATCGTCACTAACAGAGCTCATCTGTCACTTTCTCTAAAAAAAAACCCCCGATGGTTCAGCCCCCTGGCTTTGTGTTTCGTCCCACACCCGATCAGAATAAATGGGTAATTTTAGAAATAAATACTTATTTACAATCATACAGATTTCCTTTTTCATTCCTGAAGCAGCACAATACCACCAACTGGAGAGTAATCAGAATCATACACAATTGACATTGACATGAAAATAAATAATTTAATTCATACATAACAAAACGTTATCTACAGTGGACTCAATCTTTCAGTTCTGAAACCTGAATATGATTCCCAGGTGAGCTGGATGTTACGTGTAAAAAATTTTGCTAAGAAATTTGCCGCACATTGCTGTTTACAATCAACTCTTTGGACACGCATTGGTCTTGCAAACTTGACAAGATGTCAATGTAAAAAAAAAATGCAAGTATAAAATGATTTCTTAAATAGTCCGTATATGTGTTTTTTTTCCATTAATTTCAAGCATATAAAGATAACATTGCAAGTTTGACGTAACATCTTATATTTCTACTCTACATTTATCAAAATGCAACAACATCCATTATTAACACCTCAAGCATCCAACATCTTAAGCATTTTACCGAGGTACTGTATACTTTGGAAGTTTAATCAACAGATGGCATCAGTCATACGTTGAGAATAATGCGTAACAATTGCTTATTCACCACAGCTATATGTTAGAGGGGAGTCCACTGCCGTATCTGAAGTTGAAATATTAAATTGCTGTGTGGAGTCCCCTGTGACGTCGTTACATTTCTTGTACTCTAGCTTTGCTTCGGATAAAGCTGCGTCACTTGGAACGAGTGATTCCTGGTGAGTTCTACATTTGTGTGAAGGTATACAAAAGTATAACCCAAACGTTACATTGAATACACCCTCCATTAATGTGGTTATGTTTCAGCCAATCACTCGCTGAATATTGATCGAAGCATTTGCAAGGTAGCTTTGGGAAAATATCTGGTACAATGGCTGGTACCTTTGTCTCGTTCAGGTTTTCATCTAAGAATCTGTAAACAGAGGGAAATAGAGTGAATTGTCACCGGCGTGGAAATATTAAACGTGAACGAGCAATATTTGTAGTTCATTTTCAAAATGAAGGTGTAAAAAACTAACTCATAGAAGCCTCACCTTTGCAGCCGTACTTGAGGTCTGAAAAGTAAATCATCTCCTGGGAGAACACAAAGAGCCCAAGCCGACCACCCGCAAATGTTTTGTCGTAGATGGGTCCCGAGTCAGCCAAGACCTGCTTTCCCTCGTGCATCACAACCCTGCAATAAAAGCAGATGAGAACGGCGCAAGTTATGAAATCGACCATGAGCCACTTTGCGAACAAACTCAGAAGGAATGATGGGTTTGTGTAATGCGGTGGTCTGGATATTGCATTTTAGGGGTGAGTCATGGCGCACGTTGTGACACCTTCGGTTGTTTAGTCCACTCGGGCGTTTGGCTGGACAATGCGGCTTTTGTAACGGCGTGGAAAAAAAGATAGAGTCTGCAGAGGTCTGGTGCGCAACACACTCGAGGTGTTGTGTTACCGTCGGCAGAAAATTTTAACATTTTCACCGCAGTCCATAACAATTCCTCAAATGAAACAGTCCGATGAAAAGTGCCGTGACATTTCTATTTAATTGTAGCTGCCTCAGATGTAGTTTTATTGCATTCGCCTCTGATTTATACATCACTCGTCTCTGAACAAATTACGCCAGCTATGAGTACACTGGTACCGGCCAGTGGAAAGTTTCTTACATTCCAAGAGGGGTTTCCTGCACCGTGTCACTTCACTTCTACTCTCGCTTGCGGTGTGCACATTTGCCCTTTGCTATCTGCTCAGGCGACGGCTGCTTCATCACAGCCACAGGGCCGTACTTACCGAGGGCTGCAACCCCCCGGAGCCTCGGATTTCAAGCCCCCCCCCCCCCCCCCACTGCCTTACCCCCAAAATATTTGCTGCTTTGTAACTGTTGAAACACAATCTTGGAGCATGATGATATAGGCAATGTTGTTTTTTAATAATAGCATCGTGCCAATGATTTTTAGTGTGCCTGACACAATGATCTGGCTTCCACCACCTCAAAGTAAATCTGTTGCTATTCTAAAACAACATCAGGCATACTAAGAAGAAGACTGCAAGTTACATGCAGACATTAAAATAGCTTTGTTAGTTTTAACGTTGATATAGCTTTACAATTTGTACGATACATTTAAAAGCAAGTACTAAAGTAACCAAGGTAAATAACAGTGCTTGACAATCGACATTGGAGGTGGTGATGTACTGTATGTTGAACTTCTTTCGCACCGTGCATCGCCAACCGCGCTAATCGGGGGTGTGGGGGGAGAGAAACTAACTGAACATAAAAAGCTGTTCTAAAGAAATTAGTTTCAATCGAGATGATTTAAAAGTGGATAGCTCCAGTGGCTTCCTAATGTCGGAAGGAAGAGCGTTCCAGACGGCCGGAGAAGCGCATTTGAAAAGCGTGCGATGCAGTGACCGTCTTCGTTCGATGGCGAGCCAAAAGCCGCTGTGAGGATGATCGGAGTTGACGTGATGATTTATGTTCCTTGACGAGATCAGCGAGGTATTGTGGTTTATTTGTGGCAAGCACTTTGTGTGCAATGAGTGCGTTTGTAATGAGTGGTAAAAGTTAAGAGGGGGCCCAAAATCTATAACAGCCTCGGGCTCCCATCAAACTAAACTGAACCCGCCACCCAGAGACCGGTTGTGTGGGTTACATGACCCAACAACGCAGCATACACTCGGTGCCTCGGCTGCGGCCGTTACTGTCAACCTTACAAGCTGCAGCGTAAGAAAGTTAATGAAGAACGCACTCCCAAAAAATATGGAGCAATAAACATGACTGCGACCGCAAGAATGAAGGCAGGGATCTAAAAAAAAAACACGCTCGGACACGCTTAACGGGACTGATGCAAGCTGGAACACCCTGGGCACTTGAGCTGCCTCTCTGTTTTGTTGTGTGTTTTTTTATTAAATTGACCTTGTATTTCCCACACTTTCTCCGTCATGGTGACAACACACTCTTATATCGAAGTATACGGACTTCGGCTCAGACTGCAATTAACCAGATGCCTTTGAAGTGAAAGCTTCACGAGCGGTGTGAGTGAGTACCTGATGAAGCCAGTCTTGGGTCTGTGGACAAGATGCCACCTGTAGGCTGTGAAGTCTTTCCAGCCGATCACCTTAGGGTCGTGCCACAGAGTGCGCACCTACAACAACAGCAGCAGCAGCACGCCGTGTTAGCATTGCGCATCAAACACCGACCACTAGTTTTCACGTGGAAGATTTCCATAAAACATGTTCTACTTTAGATATGTTATAAGGCTATTTTAGGGAAAGTGCGGAACGCCAAACATCGGTCGCGAGTGATATTAACGGGTCTTGCCTTCCAACTGGCACTGACCAGCGTGGTGAAGTATGTTTTAAAAAACTGCAATGATTGACATGGCCTTGGGAAATGTGTTATATGAATGGAATTGTAAAATATTAGTCCAATGTATAGAGAAACATTTTTAATATGACAGACACGGAGCAGTATGCGCAAACGTTACGTTACCTAAACGAACGCAATAAACATACGTAATTTTTTATGATAACAAACCGGGACGTTTTGTACATTTGTATTCATAAATTGGGAAAATCGTATCCACGTTTGTTCAATGTTATTGTGTGGTTACCAGTGTCTGAGTGTGCGTCACCGGACATAGGCGACAGTTTAGGAATTATTCGTGAAAATGCTTGTGATACAAAAAGCTCTTACTGTTTTAAACACATCGGACATATTTCATTCCAAATATTTTACATTTGCCCAGCCAAATTCCAGAGCGGTGCATTTCGGTGTGATGTGGTGCACTGTTGCAAGGTGTGGCTGTATGTGATGTGACAGCTCTTAGCTAAAAGGAATGCATTTTAATGCTGATAGTAAGTGTTCGTGTGTAAGTGATATTTATTGAACAGTAAGTGTATGTGTGTAAGTGATATTTATGGGATAGCAAGTGTACGTGTCGCACCTCCGATTAGCACGGTTGGCTATGTACGATGTGAAAGAAGTTAAACATGTGTGCAGGTGACGTTAATTGGATGGGAGTTAAAAGTGTACGATGGTATGAGCTGGAATGTGTGATGAGGTAGTTTGAAAATACAGCGTGTTCGTGAAGGAATCGTCTGTTTATTAACTCGTTAAAAGTCGCACAGCAGTTTGAGCTGGGTCGATCCAACTACACACGCACAACGAACGGGTCGTATGAAGATTTCATCGTGCGAGTTCCCATCCCTCGAGACCTCCACGTCTCCGCCACGGGGGTGGCGACGAGGGCCCTCGCGATATTTGAGATGTCCGCTGACACCCCCCTGCCTGTTGTTATGTGCGGCCGAAGGCCCGAAGATCGCTCAAGCTTTTAGGATTTAAAAAAATGAGCAGCAGAAATTGTAATCGCACCGTTCAAAACGCTCTCTGCAGTTGCTTAATAATGATACCTCTTTGAACACCCTGTACAATACATGGATTTTATACAGTGTATTCGTGTATTTCACTCCAGGCTAAGCAACGTTTGGTTGGATAAGAGTCATGTTGTGGCTTTTGTAATATTTTCTCACTCCCCCTTCCTCCCTCCCTCTGCTTAAGTAGAACATGCCCCCCGCCCCCCAAACGAATACACTCTCTTACAGGGAGATGCTCCAGCCCAGAGGACACAGCCCACAGACTGCACCCCTTCGAATGTACTCTCTCCTGCAACAACGGGCGTCCAATCAAATCCAATAAAATAAAAAGGGACTTGTGTTGTGGCGAGATTTCGGCGGTACCCGTCGCGGCGTTACCTGTCCAGGGGTGTCCCCCGTGTGCCAGAGCGCGTTGCGAAGGTTCTCGCTCGGTCCCGTGGACGAGTTGACGACCTTGATCTGCAAGCCGGCGTAGCCGTGCGCCACCGTCGGCTTGTTCTGCCAGTAGGTCTGCGTCACCTGCTTCCACATGACGACGTAGAAGCGGCCGCTCGACTGGTAGCCGAACACGAAGCCCGCGTAGTCGTCGTCGAGCTCCGTGTTTACAAACAAAGTGCCGCTGAAGTCTACGCCGTTGAACTCGTCGTACCCTAGAGAGGGGGGGGGGGAACGTTAAGATTGTGTTCACCACAAAGTACGTTTGGGACTTCGAGGTAAAGGCGCAACCCCGCGATCGTTTGCGCACGTCGCTGCTGGTGGAAGAGTCTCCACCGGAAGGAGGTCTGGAGAGCCTCAATTCCCCTTCCACACTGGCCAGTTGTCTCGGACGAGGTAGGAGCACCCATACTTCACCTCTCCGCATAGACACGACCTGCCGTCCAACTGTGGTGCACCCATGCATATTGCCAGCAGATCGAACCAGTGACCTCTGGATTGCAAGTTCAGATTGCGGCCCATGATACCACAGCACCATCCTGGCTATAAGTTCACAAATTCACGAAAGATATCCGTTCATATCTTTAAAAAAACTTTACTGACTAAATAGGCAGTATCATTACAATTTTTTTTATAATTACGACACGAATAGAAGTCTTTGAACAGTTGACGCAGCACGGACAACGTAAACAACGCATAACAGCTTAACAAGAGACGTGTTTCTTACTCCGAGGTGCGACATTGAGGAATCAATGAGGGCGATCGTGATCAACTCACCGATGGCCATCCCTGGGTCGCTGTTGACCGTCTGCACGAGCTCCTTGCCCTGGTGGCGCACCGCCCAGTTCGGGTCGATCTGAGCTGTGCCCTTGGGGTCGAGGGGAACCACCTGGAACTTACGCAGGTCTGTCCGGAAAATAGCCGCATTCTCAGGGCAGTTGTCCTCAACGTCCGGTATTCCGTCGTTGTCAAAGTCGTATTTGCAGGCGTCGCCTCGCCCATCGCCTGTAAATTAACATACAGCAAATACCATGACAACACCGCTGCGGAGGTGATCGCAGTCGTGCTGCATAGCTTTAAACGAACCCCACACGGAGGGGTACATGGTACACGTTGTTCGTGAAGAAGAGATGGTTAATCCCGTGGATTTTTACCTCTCTCGTACATCTTTATGAGCAATAAATGTTAAACAAATTCCTTTTTTGTGACTTCATGGAACAAAGCGAGATCCTGCTTTGAGCGCTGTTAGCATCGTATCGTACATCACGCACGGCGTTTTACGGCAGGTAATTATACTGTTGTGGAATTATTCGATGAATCATGGGAGACTCATCGCGTGTTGCCCGATTTCTAGCAGGCAGAGATGCCTCTTTCCCCCCCCTCCCCCCCGTGTGTGTGTCTGCATGCGCTCTCCACCAGTGTTTATTTCGGGAACAAATTTACGGAGGAACATGAGAATAGGTTTCTGGTGTGGACCAATCAGTTTCATGGACAATGCCAATATTATCAGAGTGTGTTTTTTTTGCATTCTGACCACAAGCATTGTGGTTAATGCAGACATGATTCCTTGTAAACGGTTTCAGTTTGGTGTTTTAACATAAAAAAGGGGAAAAACCTATTATTATATTTTGGTACTGGCAAAGGAGGTCCCGTGATAGGGGAGGGACATGTTTGGCAATGGGTTTTAATTTTAGTCAAAGTCAGCGATGACTATGATTGGATGAAAATCATCAGGCATAATGATCACCACGGCTACCCACCAAAGCGTGCAGTTTAATGAGTGTGGATCAAGATGCAAAGTAAGATAATCTAGTAAACCATAAAGGGTGCTTGTCTCTATGTTTATATAAAAAGATCGAGTTAGTTAACTAATTTGCTGACCTGATTATATTGAGGGGAACTTGCACACCCCTCACACCAACATTTAATAGCAGCGGAGAACGGGCTACATTCTTGACTGCTTTCGTCTACCGGACTAATACAATGACTACATAAATGATCGGGGTAAGATTTGACGACAACATTCACAGGTTGCTGTTGTTGACCGGACTAAGACTACGATGAAATATGAAATGCTGCCTAGATCAGCACTGCTCTGCAGCACACGTAGCACGCGGAGGATGTCACCAGCGAGCCCCGGGGCTCCCTAAGGTCCACAACATCACTGACAGGGGAGAGCTCTCCGCTATTGTTACGACAGATTTGTACTAATTTTATATATTTATTGAGATTAAACTTGGGAGCCTGATCTCCATTAGAGTTATATCATCGATCAACTTGATTCATTTCGAATATCTCTCTTATGAAGATGAATGACATGGAATGAAAAGGCATGGGATATTCGACATCAGTCCACATGCTGTGTGTGGTCAGTGTGCAGCCCAGGGTATCTTGTTAAACACCCTCGGGGTACGAGCACTCTTTTTATAAGTACAGCACTTAATTATTTTGACAGGTGCAAATTTCATCAACAATTTAAATGGAATTTTGCAGATTTGCATAGCCAAGTGGTAGACAGTGAGGGAATTACTAAAGCACTTCTGTTGTGAGAGAATTAACTTAAAATATATAACAAGGAGAAAGTAGCCTGATGCCTGTAATTATGTGTGCTTTATGTCCACTACAAGTATGTGCGAGTACTTGTTAACATGCACAAGTGTGCTTGTGTGTGTCTTTGTCACTGCGGGGAGCGGTGGTGCAGTGGCCCTGCGCTACAAACCCAGCGAGCTGCTTTCGATTCCCGATCATGCGCAACATCAGTGACACTATCTGAACCGGTCCTGGGCCTCCCCTAGGTTATCTCTACCTTAAATAGGTACCTGGAATGATGTTTAAACATCGGAACGGGGAAGACAAAGGTTGCCTGAAGTGCTGCTGGCCAAACCACCCCCTTCGTGCAATGTGCCGGCCTTCATATGTACTCGCTACTAGCTCTTGCCCCAACAGTCAGTAAGCCTATACGGGGGATCTTTGTCTTTGTGTGTCTACGTGCGTGCTGTACCATCAGAGTCGAGTTGGTCAGGGTTTGGCACGAGTCGACAGTTGTCCTTGTCGTCGGGAATTCCATCGTTGTCATCATCCCAATCACAAGCGTCACCTTTGCCATCTTTGTCATGGTCAGCCTGATTAGAGTTTGGCACATAGGGGCAGTTGTCCAAATTGTTTTGATGGCCATCCTCATCAATGTCCTGATTGTTATCACACTTATCTCCAATGAGGTCAGAGTCTGTGTCCATCTGTAAAAACAGAAGAATGAAGCACGCAGAAGTGTTATCCGTGCACAATATTACGCCCATGCTAGGACAACTAGCCAGTGATCCCATGCACCATTGTCATGTGCTGCAGGCACAAAGCTGGCCTATAAACACGTTAAATCATCCGCGACTTCCCTGCTACATTTGCGCAGAAGACAGCAGAAGACAGGAGCTAAATTAATCTATAATACGGGTTTTTGTGGGGTTAGATCATGTAAATATAAATGTGTCGTTAAACCCGCCACCACCCGGCACAGACAATTAGTAAGGTTTGTCATGTAAACAGAACATGTCAATTCGTTACTAGTACATTGGAAAGTAAATCCACAACATTTACAATCTGAGTACAACGTTTTGCCAGTAATTACAACTAGCATCAGCAATTGGCATGTTCTCTTTATGTGACAAACCTTACTAATTAGCTGTGTCGGGTGGTGGCGGGTTTAACGACACATTTATATATTTACGCGATCTAACCAAAAAAAACCTGCATTATGGATATTATCAGAAAAATGTATCATTGGGATTAACATTTATTTTTTATGGTGAATCTCAAAATTCCTTACAAAAACACATAGGGAACAACTTAAAATTTCAGGGTAAGCATTCGAGGGAAAAAATATCGGCAGCAAGCTGTGAAACATATGATGGAGAGAAGTGTGAAATCAACCGTTGCATCGTGAGGTGCACTGCCAATTGACATTCACCGTAAAAGGGCGAGTTTTTACTGTGATTTGTGATATGTGAATACTGTACTGTGCAATACGAACAAAATGGGATAAAAGTGTCAGGAATTCATAACGGGGCCAATGAAAGCATGCATATAATTTAACTAACCCCATGCCTATGCTTATAACATGACACAGTTTATCAGTTTACCCCCCCCACCCCCATTATAAATACATTCCTGCAGAGGGAGCTGGTAGGAACGTTGGGTTGCTCGGTCAATGGCCAGGGTCAACGGCAGCGTGGTGTATTCCGCAAATATGCCCGACTGTGAGGGCGGGCACAAGCCGGCTTGAGTAGGTTAAACGTTGAGTTTTATAAGGGCACCACGGGGTGACCAGCCCCTCCCCACACAGCCCCTCACCACCCTCCCCTCTCGACCCAGCCCAACCCCTCCCATTTTTGGATGTACGACGGACGGACGGACACAACAATCCCCTGTGGGCTGGTGGAACCAAGTGGTCCCTACCAGTATGACAAAGCCTACCAGAGGCCGAGGGATCTCATGAGGCACATAGGGGGAAGCACCCTCACCTGCTCTGGGTTGTGCTCCAGTGGACAATTGTCGCACATGTCGCCAACGCCATCCTTGTCCGTGTCCTTCTGGTCCACGTTATAGATATAAGGACAGTTGTCTTGTTCGTTTAGAATACCTGGGCAACGAAGACAAACAGTTAATGCCCTCGGGTGTTATTGTTAACTTCACCTTGACATTAAGCATCGATCAAAACAGCCACCACATCAATGCATTCTGTTATCTGATATCCAACTGTAGCACGATTTCCATGTTGTTGAAATGCATGCATGATGGCCCATTCTCGTTTTTTAGCAAATCTCATTCTCGTGAATTACACGTTTGTCTCTGTCAGACACTCTTGGTGTTGTGGGGGAAAGCAGGTACTTATTGCCTGTAAACACAAATGACAGTTCTAAAAGTGTGTTAATTGATAAACTTGAATAAACATCCAGATATCATGCAGGAGTGGGATTGAAAAAGGGCTGCATCTCCATAGTCAGTCTCGTCCATCGGCCATCATCCCTCTATGTGATTTAGGGGGAAGGATAAAATCCGAATTACAAAAATACAATACGTGTAATAAAGCAGAACAACATATATCAAAAATGAGAACAGATAAAGCAGTGTATCATGACCTTCGTGATAAAGTAGCAGTGCAGTGGTTATCAGACAGCATTTCCCTGCAAAGCAAACATCAATGGCCAGTGATATGTGAACCACTGAACATCATCAATTCATACTCCCCAGCATGGCACGTTATGGGGACCCCTTTGTCCAGTGCCGGATTTGACAAAGGGCTGTAAATTATTGTTTTAATAATGAACTTGCTTATTATTTTGCAATGGTATAGGCGCCTTTTAATTGACAAAGAACATGACCTGTGACGACCTCACTGTACAAGATTTGTGGTTGTGATCGGTGTCAGATTACAACGGTGGGTTTGAGGTCAATCTGCCCAAAATCCGAGGCATGGGAGCCTTGATAAAATAAACACGTGACCAGTCTCAGTGCTGCTTAAACGATGGGCAACCTCCATGGAATTCAAAAGAGAAGAATAGTTTATAAAATTACGTGTATATGAATAGACAAACTCAAACCAGGCGACTACTCATCTCTACTGGTGGCCCTAGACAGCATCAGACTTTTCACATTTCTATGCCAGGGTTCAGTTCTTCCACATGAAGACCACTGTTTGCTTGCCACAAAGTCGGTAAAATTTACTGGCCACAGAGGGTTGACGGACGGGCTGCGATAACCCCCGACTCGCAATTGACCTCAACATTCCGATTCTGAGCTGCGCGCTCCAATTGCAGGCTTGCCGACATCATGTTTATTTTTTTGTAAGAGGTGACTTAATAACTTGGAGAGACTTGTGTGAGAAGTATTTACTCTGAGTGGGATTGGTTCCAGCTGCACGAGAGCAGAAACGGGGGCAAAAGGGACGGAGGGAAAATTACAAACGAAACAAAAAGGATCTCAGTACACTCCAGTTTATTTGAGCAAATTCAGCTGGCTGTGGTTTGCTTAATCCTGGACTTTAGTTGCATTGTGTGTTTATTCGTCACACGGATCTCGTCACCGCATGCATATGTGACCTTGCTCTAACCCCTAATAATAGAGCCATGCTTAAATTATTTAAGTTTCGTTACGGTCACTCTGTCAAACGGCAGCAGTAACCTGTGCAAAAGGAAAGATTTGGTATAGATGACACAATACTATTTGCATAACTGAAAAAAGGAAAGAGAAATATAATTACATTGTGCTCATCTGACACCATAGGCACCAACTAATTTGAAAATAATCTCCACGCATGGGAATCTCATCATCTAAATCAAATGTGTGTGGCCAAGGATAAAATATCCAAAACCTTTAATGCAGCCAAAAGAGAAATATTAGGTTATTACTGCATTATGCGGTGGGGGGGCTGAACCCCTAAAAATGCCTTTTCAACCCAACCAACCGTGTAAATAATAGAGCAGCACAGACCAACCACTGACCTTAAACAAATGAAGACAGAAAAACAATTAGGAGAATATTTTACGCGCACTCTGAACAATGAGTGCACTTCACGTTGCCTGTGATGTGGATGCAAGACGATGCATCCTGGATGTGGAATTTGCTCGATTATCACCAGTGCGAGTGCGAGACGTAGTGAGTGCTGCTTGCTGTCAGTAGCCGGTCTACAGCGCACATGCGGATGCTGTCAGACGCAGCATCAAACGTTGTTGCCAGACATAAAAAAAAACTGGTAAAAAATAAAGTGTCCATGGATAACAAGTCACGCAAATAATTAATTAAGATGACCAAACTGTCGAGAGTAATGTGACTTATGGCTGGGATATGTTTCAGACTTACAATTAGCTACAAAACCCCTGTAAAACTGGCTTTTTTGGAGCACTGCACAAGCTACTATCTGGAATTGTAATTTGTTAGAAATTCTGATTATTATTATTATAGCCAACTGAAAAATACATGATGTTAACAAAATTTAAATATACGCTTGTTGGAAAAGCGGAGTCATTTCTATTGTTTAACAAAAGGAGCTGTGTTCTTGTTGGGGCACAGTAGTTGTGCAATGATTCCACGGTGTTATTTGAGATCTCCTTAAGGAGTTTTGAGCTGTGGTTTAGATTTTCAAAGTGAAGAATGCCTTCCCGGAAAGGTCATGTGCACGTGTGGACAACATGACTTTATTGCGCCGTGCGCAGCATGCCAATTGCTCCGATCGACTCGGCTTCGTTTTGAGAAAACGTCTCGGTCATAGGAATCCAGGAGGAAAAATCAGAAACACACAACTGTTTTGGAAAGGCCCACAATTCCAGGAAGGTGTGCAAGCGTTTGCTTACTTCCCTCATGCGTGCACTTGCACAATGTTTTAATAAACGAAAATTTATCGCATGAAGCCCTTCGAGTTATCTGGATGTTTTAAGGCTGTGGTTATAAATGAAATACAGGCCGTGTGATCTGAGTAATCCCGTTATTCTGAGTATAACAGGATATACACACATATATACCAGGAGCAGAGATTTATTGTATGGTTGTGAATTGGAAATTACTCTCTAAGGTAAAAACATGCGCGTGTGTGTGTGTGCACGCATCAGCCAGTCGTCTCAGTCAGTCGACCCGTGGCATCTGGGTCTGCTCCGTGACCTCCTGCCAGCGGGCGTTCGACACTTCACGTGGCCTCAAGGTGCACATATGCACATAGCCTGGCACAAACGTCGTGGTGACGTCACCGCCACTTAGTGGCGAATGGCGGTTGTTGTTGTTGCACGCATTCAATGGAGTCATTGTACGCGTGATGCTCTCTCTCGGCTTGTAGCCATAAAGTTGGATCGTTCTTATGTTTAACAGTTAATTAAAGATGATAGTTAAAAAAATCCAATGATTTTCAAAGCCTTGAAAGATCGAGGATTGTCGTATCAATAAATTGACGGCATAAAATAATCCATTCATGTGAACATTAAGAGCAGTTGAGTGCTAATTGAGAGATAACTTCATAACGTTATCCACAAATTGTGGATTCTTTTAACAGGTCACACCAGTGCAGAGGCGGCCCGTCCATATAGGCGAACAAGGCGGTCGCCCAAGGCGCCAAGTTAAGTGGGGCGCCAAATTAGACGAAAAAATACAAATTAAATAACGAAGATGTCATGATTTCAATTCGCATGCGCGCACAGAGGGAATATCGCTTAGAATTCATTTCTCAACATTTCTGAGAATGTCTTGGTTGGACAGACGGACAGACGGACAAACCGAATGATGATGCCTCTGTTGAAAAAAAAATACGCTAAAAAAACATTAAGCGGAAAATAGGGACAAAATGTTCCTCAGTTTACCAAAAACCTCAGCCTTGATCGGCCCTTCGGGTTCGAGGGTGGGGACGCCGATTGCGTGGTTCGCCTAGGGGGCACCAGTTGCTGGCAGCAGCTCGTCAAGGGCCGCCTCTGCACGAGTAATATATAAATCTATAAATTACTCTTGGCTATTACACATATACGCATCTTGATAGACTTTGCAAGCGCAAGAACTACTGGTATGAATTTAGCACCAGATGGAAGCTAATAATACCCAGTTGGTTGTACTCATGACTTCTAGATTTGAAGTTTTCGTGACTGCAAGGATTCATACTCTTTGGTTTTTTCGGTAAAGAGACGTAGGTAAAAAATTAAAATAAATTAAATCACGACGTTTCGGAGGCGCGTCGTGATTTAATTTATTTCAATTTTTTTACCTACGTGACTTTACCGAAAAAAACAAAGAGTATGTACTCATGACTTTTAAAGAAATGGCCATTTCAAATCCTCACATATATAATACGCCTTTTAAAAAAGAGAACAATATATATTTTAAAATATCTGTTGACATAAAACATGTACTTTACATGCTATATGCATGATCATATAGTTATAATAGTGCTGCATGCACCAGAATAAAAGTAATACAAAGTTGAAACAACACAAACGTCTATGAAATTGTGGTCTTAAAATGTCATATATAATCGGTGATGTTTCAGGCAATGGCTCTTCTTCATAGCCACATAGGCCAGAGAGGTAGAATTTATTTAAACTGAAAAAAATGCACTTTCCATTGTCTATAGCAATTGAGACAACAGCTACTCATCCAATTGTTGTTTTTGTTCCCACGTGCATTTGTAAAACCGAGGTTTTTCAGTCTTAGCTCATGAAACCGCAACGTTACGACGTCAGGGGGAAATGGCACGGCGCGGCGCATGAACGATCTCACTCCCTGGTGGGTTTGCGGGCCTGGCCTCGCACTTCTCAACTATTGCCCACTACGATAGCCCCATGACGAATGCTCACGGCATAAATAACCCTCACATTTTCCTACGAATGAATTGAGGAGTGAGTATTTAAAGAAAGTAAAAAAAAAATCACGTGGGAAAAGTATACAAGACCAATAAATAGCAAAGCCACAACTATCAAATAAATTATGACAATTGAGACAAACAGTACTGAAAACTTTACACTGTTAACTTTCGCACTTTTCACGTGACACTATCAATGTGTACTAATAATGTTAACTTGATTTTTTTAAATATATCACTAATTATTTTACCATATCAATACTTAAAATACCCATGGCTTGCAGTCCTGCATTTAAAGTGTGGGCTGGGAGAGAGCTGCAAGAGGCTGTGAATTGTGCTTCACCGCTTTCCAGAGCTCACTCGTAGTGATAAATAAAAGTTTAAGAGAACAACCCCCCCCTCCAACCCCCAGAGAGTGCTCCAATTTTCCAGTCAGGTTTTTTTCCAAGATTTTAGTTTGTAGGTCAATTTTTAACACACCTGGTGTGTTTAAGACTATACATATCCACAACTAAACAATCCAGGCTTGAGGCATTCTGCGAGAAGTTCTATCATCCTGCCGTCCTGTATTCTATGGGTTAGAGGCCACACTTGTTTGCCCGTGTACTTAAAAGCAAAAGTTGGGGTTGCATCTCATAGTCCAGAAGGTATGTGTGTGTGTGTTGTTGGCCAGATTTGTATAATGTTATTCACACTGGCCACAGGTTTTAGGGTGTGTTTTGTTTGTTTTTGAAGTGTCCTATCATATAACGGACGTGCTAACAATGGTTTGAGTAGTGGAATAAATGTCCCTTATTTGCTTCTATGTAGCTGTGTTTTTACTTCTGAATGATTGTACAGTATAACATATTCGGAATTAATAACCTATGTCACAGATGCTGAATGACTGGGTGAATGCATGCCATTCCATCTAGCCATGTTTTGAATGGACTAGAAACAAGTAAATGTTGACCCAGGGACTTATGGGATCACTGAATAACGCGTTATTATTTACTCGTCGATTGAAATACAGGCAGGCAGGTGGTTTAGGGGTCACTGAGCATATGTCAGACCTAATACTCTCGAACATTGTATGGCACAAAAATTACCTAAATGCCTGAAAGAAGCAACTATGTCCTAGAGATTGCTGCATCACTACCATCTCCTAGTCAACTCACTGCTTTAAAACGTGTGCCACTAACCTAAAGTTAATGGTAGCGTTGCAATCAGACACATCAGCGGCTGAATGCGAATGCTTCCGTATCAATTACTGCTTGAGGGATACACGCACTCTGATGATCAAAGGTGGGCGATGCTGCACTGGCAGTGGTGCGCAATCACAAACAACAAGCAAGCATCTGTCAATGCTTTGATGCGAATGGTACAGCAGCGTTCAGACAATAAACATTGATAATGTCACGAAGCAAGGAGTTGACTGACCCATGCATGATTGGGTAGGCAATGCCTTCAATCACCATAAAACATAACACATGGTAGGTGACAGCATGATAGTAGTTGAAAATTGTTTCATGCATAACAGGAATAAAACTAAGACATCTGTTCCATGATCCACAATACTTGACTAAAGTTGCCACCTCGAGGGTCCAAAAGACCGGGTGATATTATGTAAATAAAATATCTCACAATACCAGAAGAGGGGAGAAATACATGAACATGCATCGTGTTAAGTGGCACATTAATACCCTAATTTACAAAAACCGTGACTTTCAATGTCCCGGTGAGACTTGGAGATTGTCCAAGGTAGCTGCCTCAACAAGAGGATGATCCTGGGAAAACCCAGGACAAGTGTCAACCGCGTGTTCGACAGCTGAATGGGTAAAATGGAACGGGCGTGTTTTACCGTCTCCATCGATGTCCACGGAGCAGGCGTCCCCCTCCCCGTTCCCGTCCGTGTCAATCTGCCCCGGGTTGTGGTTGTACGGGCAGTTGTCACAGCGGTCTCCCACGTCATCGCGGTCGTAGTCGTACTGCCTCGGGTTGAACTGCAGTCGGCAGTTGTCCTGTACAGAGACGCCACTGAATATTAATCAACTGTGCTGTTATTATCATGGCAGGGACGTTGCCACGGAGTCACGGTTCGCGCACCGGACCTGCAATCCAGAGGTTCCATTCGATCTCCTGGCTCGGCAGTGGAAACAACAGTCAAGATTTACTGCTGTCTGCCCAGCAGCACAATCTGGTACAGCACAGTTAGTCGAGCGGAAGGTTAATTGTGTTGGGGTAAAGTGTGGGTACTCTCACCTCTTCCAAGACGTCTGACCGGCGTGGAAGAGTAGGCCAAATACCCTCTAGAGGGGCTCTCTGGAGCTCCTTCCAGTGGAAGCCCTTTTGCCAGTAATGCTGCATCTTTCACCTGTTCATTTTAGTGGAATGCTATATTCATATTTGAATAATAATTCAGAAGAGAACGTGTAAAAATAAAATGACAGGACTTAACGTGAATGACGATCACGATGATGCAAAAAAAAACAACAGAATGAAGGAGAAAAATAAAAACAAGAGAAATATAGAAATTACACCTTTAAAAAAATATCACACATTAGGGGTACCCCAACAAGCACATTAATACTGCAAGGAATATGTGGAAAATTCAGACAAAATAGACACTCGAGAGACTTAAATAAACGGAAGGGAAACAGGGTGAGAGAGGTGAAGATGGAGGAGAATGTGGCAAACAGAAACGGACGATGTTGTTGCAGCATCAACCGCAGTCTGTTTCGACATTCCACCACTCAGCACTTAGGGAAGCAGTTCCATTTTCAAGGGATCTGGTTCCACTCTGTGGCACTGGGTACTCACGACAACATCACGGGTTTCATGTTTTCATACCTAACCCAGTCGGTTTGCTGACCCTCTGTAACGAAAGTGATCGCGATAAAGGTGCAACCCTGCATCTCCTTGCATACATCACTGCTCGTGGAAGGGCTTCCACCAGAGGTAGCTATAGAGAGCCCCTCTAGAGGATACTTGGCCTACTCTTCCAAGCTGGCCAGATGTCTTGGAAGAGGTGGGATTACCCACACTTTACCCCACCACACACGACCTGCCAAACAATTAACTGTGGTAGGACCCAGTTATGCAGAGAGAGGTGGGGGTGGTTTTGTTTAGGAAACTTGTCACATTGTTTTAACTGCTACGTCAGGAGGTCAAACCTAAACGATAACCTCTAGATTTAAAGTCCGGTGTACTAACCATTCTACCATGGTAGCGCCCCTAGCATAAGTCTGGTATGCAGGAGGTCGTCGGTTCGATCCCGACTCTGACACCTGTGTATTTGGAGTTTGCATGTTTTCTCTGTGGTCACGTTGATTTTTTTCTCCAGGTCCTCCGATTTTTCCCTCGACATTTAGGAAAAGGCGTTTACAGTATTTGGCTGCTGTACATTTCCACGTGATAATCCACTTCAATGAGCTATCATTTGTGGCCAGGTCGCTTCTGAAAAAGAGCTATATAGTTCAGTGGGCCTTACCTGCTAAAGTATAAATAGTTTATAATTTATAAATTTTTCCCAAAAATCATCTCCGAATGTCACATTGCTATTCAGGAGACAGAGATGTTGGGCCCTGTCTATACTGTGCATATCAGCATGCGGTAGGAAGCTGTACCACCCAGACGTAACCTGCACATCCATAAAATAGATCAGCAACTGAATTGCTGCACTTCCATCATATTTACGATACAACTGTACTTATTACGTAGTTTCACAACGAACAACCATTCGAGTATTTGAAATGCAAATCATTATTATAGTCGTTAAAAATAATTGTACAGCAATCCTCTGGAGTGAATAAAATAAATACCGCTTTTTAATTAAACAGTGACCACAGTGTGGAGAGACTGGCAACCCCGAATGGGAAAGTGGAATTTCTCGAACTGGCTCAGGGCCACCATGGGGCTTGAGGGCCATCTAATTACTTACTGGGGTGGGTGCCAACAAATTATGACACTCTTTACGCTGCGACTGTATTCACCAAGTTGTTATGTGTCGGGGTGGAGAGTAACGGTCGGCGACATCTTTATTTCGAGTTATAATTAGATGATTACATGAAATTAGGCCGATTTGTTATTAATTGGTTTATGCGTTGAGCTGGGCACAGGGACCGTCCATAAATGACGTCACGCGATTTTGGACGATTTTTGACCCCCCCCCCCTCGTCACACGGCGTCACAAAAAGTCAGACCCCCCCCCCCTCAAATATGACGTCACAAAGCTCTGCCCCCCCCCCCCCAAATAAAACATGCTTCAAATCGCTTTAAACTATTGTCATTGAAGTGCGTATTTAATGTGGCGCTGCACTCTGATGTTGTAGGAGAAAACATTTATTAAAAAGTCAATTTAATTAAGTAGAACTTGTTGTCTATATTTATTTAAAGTTGCGCATTTTGATGTGATGTCACATTTCTCAACCCCCCCCCCCCCTCATCACACATCGTCACAAATGTCTGACACCCCCCCCCCCCTAGGTGCGTGACGTCATTTATGGACGGCCCCACAGCGGCACGCGTTGATGAATGGTACACACTGAGAGGCAAGAAGCACATGGGGTGTTTCAGTGCCACTCGTTTTCCAAATGCGGTCATCTGGGTTAGGCCGCGTGTCGAGCATTTCGTCTCTCAAGCTTGAAGATGGCCGCCGCCATAGCAGCGGTAAGGGCTGGAGAGAAGAAACTGCTCAACACGAGGCCTATTCCGGAAGGCCATTCTTGGATGAGAAACAAGAATTTGAGAAATCCTAATCATCACTGAATTGGAAAATACTAACAGAGTACAGCAGGACTTGGCACGAGCAAGAATGACTATCAACAGACTGGTCTAAGGAAAGAATGCATCCAGAGATTGGAAATGCATGAAGGCAAAGGAAACGAGTAGACTGAGTGCTGATATCAAGAAAATGTTGGCGTGAGATAAATAACACCTGCGCAGACCTATTGGCAGCGGCAAAAGTGTGGATGGCTTCATCCGTTATTGGACCGGAAAAGGCCATTGATGATATCCATCATAGTAGGTGCAATGACAGAATGAGGACAACATACCATTCGGTGAATACACTACAACGTTGGATATCCAACTCCTTGGGGACTGTGGTATATAGATGATATGTGAAAAAGGTCATAATTGTGAACATCTAAGTAATATGACAGAAGATAAAAATAAAGTGATAACTGTTTTAACCACGGGAAAATTCTTTACATTACTTTAGATGTAAGAAAATGTATGCGATATTAAGAACACATCTATAGATAATGACATTAACAGCCATACACAAAAACTGCACTGGGTATTGGAAATTCATTTGTCAGGGTGGATATGTGACAATCGCATATGTGGTGTTGCAATGCATGTAACACTTTCACAGCATTTCCAGGGAAGAAAAGAAGACACGCTAAAGGTTATTTTTGATGATGTGTAGAGACGGTGATGACACAATTGCTACTAATCATTGGTGGCAACACAGAGGACATGATCCAAATCCAACCTGGTAGCTAACAGATTTTAATTTCCAAATTAATCAAATGGCTTGCGAATGTCTGTCTCGTGCGATGTTAATACACTTTAGGCATCCGTTGTCGCATACCTTCTGTGCAAGCCCTATCTTGTTCCACGCTGCAAAATGTGCTGTGTGTTTTTACGAGCCACCATAGCGCCACAGAATTAATTGCAAAATAAGCGACTTACCCTGTCATCGAGAATTCCATCGTTGTCATCGTCATCGTCACAGGCGTCACCCATGTTGTCCTTGTCATAGTCCTCCTGACCCGAGTTAGGCAGGTGTGGGCAATTGTCCTTTGAAAAGAAAACACAGCAACATTATTATGAGAATTCGTAAGTAATGTTGTCAGAATTTATATAGCGCGGTAACCGAGGCGCTTCGCAAAGAATTAACAACGGTATTTGTGAATGTAACGGTGGAGGTGAGGTGAATGAAATAGACGAGAGGAAGCAATGGGGGCGAATCTGTGATGATGCGTGAATTCGGTGAAAGCGAAATCGATGACAGTAAATGATGATGATGAATGGATTGAACGAATGGCGAATGAGTGATAGCCATATAATGAGAATATGAAGAGGGAACAGTAACAGTGGCGGTGGTGGTTACGAGGAGGAGATTAAGGTGGGGTCATGGCGTGAGCTCGGGAAAATAAACGAGTTTTGAGTAAGGAGCGGAAACTAGTTTTTAATTCTGATGAATAACTTAAATTAACCAAACCAATATATACAATGTCAAGTTTTGCATGACTGACCAATGAACATACCGAGATAGATAGTCAGAGTTGTCGCTGACATTCCTAATTTTGTTTTTCAAGTTTTTATAGAACTGGCATAACTAAAGCAGATATTTGAACAACGCATAGTTTCCGTGATGCTTTTATATGTACTCTGTTTATGCGCACGCTCTTCATTTATGGGTCAAAGCGGCTTGCAACGTGAAGCTCAACTTCACTTCTTATTTATCCGGGGGTTGATCAAATGAGTGCCGAACTAATTTTTTAAAAGCCAGCTGTGTATTTGTCGCTGTGGATGAACGTCAGGGGCATTTCCACTACTGGCTCAGGACTGTGGAGAGGAGAGTAGTGGCAGCCTTTCCTCGATGGAGCAAAAAAATACTGACAATTCATTGTGTGTGCATGCTTCCGTGTGTGTGTGTCAAATCTTTGCTTGTCACAACTCGTGGCCTGATTGGTCTGTGCAGCTCAGGGCTGGGTTTACGAGATGGCATCACGAGAGACTCAGGCAGACACCGTACACCCTGGCCCTGCCGCGAGATTCGCTGCCATCTGTGCAGGAAACGTGAGCTCTGCCTATTTTTTTTAATCACGGCTGGCTGAATCCAGAAAACGGCTACTGGTGAAAACTTTATGCCATGACCTTAGTCTCTCAAAGTTATTAAGCAAAGGGTCTCATTCATGTTGGAAAAAGGGCAGTGTTCACCGATGTACGTTATGGATGGCCAAGTCGCTGCTATTTCTTGCCGGTTTGGCCCCTTTCCCACTGAGAAGAAGCAGTTTTCTCCAGTGCACTAATCAGGCAGTAAATGTGCATTGTTATAGGATCCATTGTTTTGCTTAATTGCACCAACATTTGCATTTTAGTTTTCCAACCGCAGATGAAGTGCAATCTTGTTTTGATACCATTCCTTCGGTAGATAAGACGATTAATAACAAGTACATATTTAAACGTTTAACTGCATTCAAAAGACTGGGACAAAAAAAATAATTTAGAGTAATTTTGTATGAAAGCAAGTGCCATCATAACAAACATAATGCAGTAATATGAGTTAAAATTTTTAGTTGAACAAAATATAATGAAACCCAGATGTGGCGGTGAATTTGTATTCGTCATTTAGGCAAAGAAGGCCATGAAAAATCACATCTGGCGGGACTGTGTGCATGGCTGTAGCAGTTCAGTGGCCGCGGCGTGTTTGCCTGCTGCTCCCTTCTCTCCCTCCAGCCCTGCCAGTTTGGCGCAGAGCCCCCCCCGCCCCCCATCGCAGCCCGCCCACATCCCCACCTCCTCTCAGGAATGCATTAACCTTTCTGGCGGCATGGGTCACGCGCATTAATCTGCCAGTCCCGTGCGTTCTCTAGCCTCGTGCATTCCTTCAGGTAGCCTCTCCCACCACTGCTGTCTGGATTTTGACAGCCGCTCAGACATGGCATGGCAAAAATAACGTTTCCAGTCTTCACCCCCCCCGCCCTGCTCCCCATGCACCCTGGAAAAACTTCCTGCACTCACTCTGAAAATGTAAACCACCAAAAAATCTATAGATCTATGAACAATATGGAGCAGACTGCGAGTGCTGACTTTCCCTGTAAGCGCAAAAAAAATGGGCCAAGCCCTTGAACTTGTGAGAAAACACCTGACCTTATTGGCACTTGCATCTAACACTGGTCTTGTTAAATGCTTTTATAAAAAATATATATTTATGTTTTATTAATTCGGAAATTCGAGAAGTAGTGGAGAGAAAATTAATTCGACATATGTGTGATATAGCAGCTCTGCATATTTTTCCATTTCTCAAAATATCCCCGAAAGTTTTTACTACAATAAAATGGCTTGACAAAAATCATTCTCTTCTTACACCTTTCAAAGGTAAAACGATCCTCTCACACATCCGAAACTAATGACAAGACTCTATAATAGAATCCTTACACCATTTTAAGGCGAGGGATCACTTGCAGTGATTATGCAATTGGCAACAGCCTTCCTTGTTGAATGTCTTTGTTTTGTGGACTTACCAATGTAAAAGCGGGGGACATATAATGGACACAGTCAAAAACCTTGAGCTTTAGCATCCAGACGTTGGGAATGGCATGAGACAGTGCCTCCAAAATGACCAGTTTACTGTATATAATAATTATCGCTATAATCTCCATGCTTGCAGATAATTCATCCTGTTTGTTCATAAGTTCGAAAATAGTTTGACTTAAACATATTTCGAATGCATACTCTTTGGTTTTTCGGTAAAGTCACGTAGGTGAAAACAAAATAAAATAAAAATAAAACAACTACATTTTTTATTTTATTTTGTTTTCACCTACGTGACTTTACCGAAAAAACCAAAGAGTATGGATCCTTGCAGTCACGAAAACTTCAAATCTAGAATATTTCGAATGGCCATATTCTGCGACCCATTTCACCATGAAGCAATGTAAAACAATACAAACGTACTTTAAAAGGCAAGTTATATTCCCTGACAGATACTGTGCTATATTTCATGTCACACCCAGCTACGAGAGCGATGGCACACTGATGAGATCCTTGGCAGTCTGTATCAGGGGGTGGCTGGCTGACAAGCCCTTACGTTGTTAGCTACTTGTGATGCTATATAGAAATGTGTCAGAGCTGTCAGCAACTACAAACTACCTTTTGATGTCGTGATAATAGACTTTGCTGAACTAGCATTGACGTGAGCTAGCGCACAGCACGTACATAACTACAATTTTCACTCTTAGTTTTGCTTAGTTTGTGCTTTCATCTGTATTCTTTTTCGCAGACACTTTCTCTTTAGATTTTGAGATGTTTTCACGTTGTTATTTTCCCCCGTTATCAATATAAACATCTTAAAAATATTTGGAATGGAAATGTAATTTAAGATCAGGACTGGGTCTCAAAACGGGTGCAGGTGGTGCAATGTTGCCAGGCAGGATCCCAGGGATGGAAAGTGCCATCTAGTGGCACGTCTACTCACGCCTGGGTGGTAGTAGTAGGTGCTCAAAATGGGAACACTCCTCGGAAAGCCAGGACATGTGGCAACTCCGAGTTACATGCCTGCAAGTGTGAGCACGGCGGCTGTACAGGGAGCCTCAAAGATCAAAACATTAGGGTCAGGAGACCCGCATGTCTCAACTCGTGGTGGCCCAAAGCTGAACTCCGTGCAGCTCTACGCATTGGTGATGGCGGGCCTCCTGCACAGGTGCCCCCGCTCTGTGCTGTGTCAGCGTGCACCGAGGCCTCAAACTTCCTTCATCTTCTACCGCAGGAGATGAACCAATTATGGATGGATGAAGACAAACATAACTTGTTTTTAGAACAAACACAATTTAAACTTCAGTTTGTGGTTGTTGTTTTTTGCATCAGCATGATGAAGTTTGTATTTGAGTCTAACCAAATTCCAAGAATGTACATGTTCATTGATGGCTCCAGCACAAGGTTTGTGGTTGAAGAATGGGTGGATTTTGCCAGACTCGTCTTCAGGGATTTGTGAAAGCCAAATATTTCATTTAGTCTGGATGAAACAGTAGCTTAAAAGATACAATTCCTGCTGAACAGTGCTAAAGTCTAACTGCACAAGTGTCCGTGTCTTTTAAATGGACCTTGCTGCACGTCCGGTGGAGAACAACACTCTCCCAAGAACTGAAGACGGAGAACGATATTCAGAGTTTGGGGAGAATTACTCAGTCGGTCACTGAGAGCAGTCGATTTAAGCGGACCAGAGAGTGTGACAGCATTGTCAGTACGAGAATGACAGAGAATGTAATGGGCTTTATGCAAGTCGAATTTTATAAGAAGCATAAAAGCTTCATTTGGAATGGAGTCAAGAGAGAATTTTTGTCAACCACAAACGCCTGTAAAAGAAAAACGCTCCCATACTAGTTTTATGCGGATGCAAGTTGACGTTATTTATTACTTCGCAATAAATAGAATGACCGGGGTGCGGGAAATCACATGATTCACCACCCATATAATTTGTTCGAGTGAGAAATAATCTAAAATCCATAAGTACATTTGCAGATTGGTGAATAATGTTTGTATTTATAAAGTACATAATCACACCTTTAGTTTTTAAGACTTTTCATCCCCGCCCCCCTCCCCCCCCCAGTTTATTGTGCTCCTGTACTGGCATCGTGTCATGAGATGAAGCGTCCCATTATGTCTCCCAGAGACAACACATCTAAGGGAGGCATAATTGTGTCAGCAATCTGTGTGCCCAATGTCTGCAAGGCATTCTTAGTGACGGGAATCCCTGCTCCATCTCCGAGTCAGGGAGTGCGTCAAAACACGTTTCGAGGACTCAGCACGAGCAACCAGCTGGATACAATCACGGCGCATAAATATTTTTCGACAATGAACACACGCTAAGCTGGGTTAAGCTAAATACACATTTCAGAGACACGTTTATTACACGTGGCAGCTTGGAAAATAAGTAAGGGTCTGCTCTAGAATGTTTTTTTAATAATAATACAACATCATATAAAGGTGTGTATGTGTGGTCAAGCTAGTCCCATCAAATATAAACGCGGCGCTTACCTTGCGGCAGTGATAAGTGGCATTGACCACGCAGGTCAGGTTGTAGTTGGGCCAGCCGTCAAGGTCGGTGTCCTCTCCACAAATGACCCCGTTGCCAGCATAGCCCGTGCGGCACTCACACTTGAACGGAGGCTCTGCAAACTGGCCCAGGTGGATGCACTTGGCGTGCTTGTGGCAGTTGTGAGTGCCATCCTTGCAGGGGTTTCTGGGCTCGCACGTCTAAAAAAACCCGTAAACAATCACATTTGTTAATATTGACACGTATATATTTTTTTAACAAAGTAAACTTAATTTGAGAAATTCACTCCCAATAACATGTAAATTTGGGGAGAGGCTGCACGGTGGTTTTTGCACCGCAGCACAACCCTGATTAGCTGAGTTTGAGTCCCAACCATGGCTAACACCAGTGGTGAGTGAAATCTGAACCGGTCTTGAGTTTCCTGACTTCACCAAACCCACACTGAAGTTTTGTCAAGCAACCCCAATGACCGTAGGGCATTCCTTTAAATCAGCAGTGAATTGATAAAAGCAATATTTCGAGATGCCGGGCAGTGCCGTCGTTCCATGTCCCAGCCCGCCCCACCACACACCTGCTTCGCTCGCTTGGCATCAGACAGTCCCACGCCGAACGGCTGGTTTCCACCGTAGCGCGCCGGGCAGGGTTGGCAGTGAAACCCGGGTGCTGTGTTCTCACAGCGATGGATCCCGTTCAGATGGAAGCAGATGTCCTTCACCTCTTCACACTACCCATGCAAGAAATGGTGCCGTTACCGGATCACTCAAAGCACAAATCAAAACGTGATCGATTTCTCGAGGGTCTCCCCCAACTCCAAATTGCACCCCCGCACCCCCCCACCACCACCGCCCTCGACAGCAATGGGAGAGTGAGGAAATAATTTCCGGAGCCAAGCCCCATCTGAAATTAATCCCCGATCATCCTCGTGTATTCCTTTTTATACCACAACTCCCATGCAGCACATCCCGAGGCACCAGAACAAAGGGGGTATTTGCGATAATTAGTCGGCGAGGAAGCGAGTTAGCACCGAATATGGTGTCCAAAAACAATGCAGTCTCGAGAACATTCACGACAAATGAGAACAAACAACAATGGAAAGCGAAAATGTGCTTGAGTCTGCTCTCGTTTCTTTTTTTGTGCACCTCATTTATCTATGTTACCTTTTCCCGCGGGTAAAAGTGTAAACACGGCAAATGACTTTCACAGAGGAGCGTCGAATCACGTGCGGTGCATACCTCGTTAATGTCAAGACATTCTGCTCCGCTCCCACGGAAGCCAGCGGGACAGGGGCCACACTTCCATGAGCCATCTGGGAAACTCGTGCATTCTACGCCCGTGAAGCACGGGCTGGAAAGGCAGCCATCTGTGACGCGCACAAAGTATCACAAGAGACGTCACACACACGCACACCGCTGCGTTTACAAGTTTGTGTGTACGCAAGGTGGACGTGATCGCCTGTATGAGTATGACCTCTAGAGTGACCCCCGTTCAGAGGGCTTCGAATGAGCGAGCCGCTTGAGACGTGAGAAGAATGAGGAATTGAATTTGTAACTCATTAAACAACCCCCGTGGTGTAATGGTTTGCACACTGGGCTAGCAATACAGAGATCGCCAGTTCAAATCGATCTCTCGACGTGGCGGTTGGTCAGGCTTTGTAGATCCAACCAGCAGCATTATAAATGGGTTACAAGACAGTTAGTCCATCGGCAGGTGGGGTAAAGTATGGGTATTCCACTTCTTCCAAGAGATTTGGCCACCGTGGATGAGTAGGCCAATATACTCTGAGCGGGGCTCTCTAAAACTCCCTCTGGTGGAGGCCCTTCCGCATGCAGTAACATCAGCATGCAATTGCAGGGTTGCATCTTAGTCTTCACCTCTACGTCCTATGAGCACAGCGGCAATGTGAAGCGTGCAAACCGAGTGGGGGGAGGCCTTCGTCCAGCCATGCGTTGACAAAGGGATATATATTTTAAAAAAACGTTGAATTACTTCGCATCTCAGCAATCCTATTGCAATTACACTTTGGTTGTTTTTTTGCACAGCTGAATAAAGGCATCTTGTGTGCACACGCTTGCACAATGTGAGACAAGTTGACTGTTGTTTAAATATTAAGCTTTCTGTTGACAGCATGATGCTGTGCAGCAGAATTAGGTTTCAACACGTTATGACTCATTGGTTTGTTGATACTGCGCAGTCTATTTAAGTAAAGATGTTTTTAGAGCTTTATGGTGGTATCAGAGATGTGAGATAAAGGTGCAGCCCTGCAACTGCTTAGCCACACCACTGGCCGTGGAAGGGCATCCACTATCGGGGGAGCTCTATAGGACCCCTCTGGAGGGCATTTGGCCTACTCTACCTCGTCGGAGACAAGCGTCTTGAAAGAAATGGGAGTCACCCACACTTTGCCCCACCAAACTAAACCCGCTGTTCGACTAACTGTGGTCTCCCCATTACGACTGCTCGGTGGACAGGGCTGGGGGTGGGGCGGGGATTCATAAACCTGAGCCACTGTTTCAAATTCCGGTGCGGGGAGATAAAAAAAACCCCAACTGGCGACCTCTGGATTACAAATCCAGCCTGCTAATACCATCATGGTTAGTGTGCTAACCACCATGGTTAGTGTGCTAACTATGGTGGTATTAGTATTGCTACTATTTGTTTTAATATCCCACACACATCCAGTACATACAATACATGCACGCAAGCAATATGATAATGTTCACATCACCGCGCAGTACTCGACAGATGCCTTGTCACTTGCGGTGGTCGACTAAAACCGGTGCAAACCCAAATCTGCGTGCAGGATTCTTCGGATCCAATGCAGTGCCCTCTATTTCACGGCTACACAGACACACGCATGTAAGGGCTGCAGGAGAACTACGTCTGGTTCGCGTCCACACGCTCGTGTTCTGTCCACTGCTGCTGGCGTCAACGTCATCGACAGCGTTACAGCCTCGTCCTGACGCTGCCATCAACAGCGTCAGCTGGGATACGGACACCCGGAGCTGTGCGTGTCCCAGCAGTCGGAGTTCATCTTGTCACTCGCTTCGCCACCACACCGTGCGGGTTTGCACTTTTACCGCAAATTCAGGTGCACGTTTGATTGTTTAATCGCACGAGTAGCGTCTTCATAGAGAATTGGTCTCACATCGAAACACGGTCTAAAATGAGGAGTGAGGAAATGGAGTTCGGTCCTTTCTGTGGCAATAACCATAACCACACTGGGCCACAATCACGAGAGATTATGGAACCACAAAGGGTGATTGCAAAATTTTGATGAATCAGCATTAACTATGGGTTCAACCCTGCCGTTTTATGAGCCAGAAACGGCTGAGATTTTGTGTAGGAATATAACAGTTACAGCTGCTTCATGCTATATTTTTTTATTCTGACATCTCCCCATGGTAATGCTTTCTTAACCAATTAGGAAGCCTTAGAATGCTCAGCACTGTGATATTAATGTTCCAATTCACTCTAGTTCGCTCTACAGATTTGTTTTTAATGTTAAAAAGGTTATACCATGTTTCCCTTGCAAAATACGTTTTGAATTGTTGGTAAGTTGTGACCTCCATCAATAAAAAAAAAACTATTATTTCATTTAAAAAACCTCAGACTACTCAAGAACACTTCAAGCTCACTGTCCATGTTGTACACTTTCATAACCTCTGCCTATTTTAATATTTGGGGGAGAGTTGGTGGTGGAGAGGACAATGAATTCGGCTACTTCGCTTCGATTCCTGGGCACGGCTAACATCAGTGATGAGTGATATCTGAACTGATCCTGGGCTACCCTCTTCACCAAACCACACTGAACAGTGTGGTGAAGTTTGGTTAAAGAACTCCCGTGGCTGACACGGTATGGGGAGACCTTTATTCAGCAGCGAACTGCCAATAAAAATATTCACTCTTATAATCCAACGTTAATCGTGCTGCTTGTTGCTGGTCACTTGGCATATTGGGCCTTTGGGCCTGTGCTCAGCAACTGTGCATAAGTAAGCAAAAACAATAAAATTTCTTTTTCTTGTTGCAATGCTTACAGATCTGAGCTCCTGTCAACAACATGACGATGCTGGATGCATTCTCCAGCGAAACGTCGCACCCATTTAAATGTTGTGAGATAACACTTCGACAACAACAACAACACTGGTGGCGCTGCTGAAGCAGGGATACATTTGGCCACGTTTGATTCACGTGGCACTTATTAATTGGCTGTGTCTGGCGAAGGAGGGTTAATGACATACAATCTTTTTTACACGCGACCGAACAGACAACGAAACCGATCATGAATGAGGTTTCATGTTCTTAACGTGTCTGTGGTAGACAAAAAGAGTCACGTAAATACCGATGGGGCATTCTTCCTTGTTGCAGATGTCCGTCTCGCGTCCGTCTCCCACACATTTCTTGCCGTTGAACTGCGGCTCGGGGTTGTTGCAGAGGCGCGTGTGCTCACGGAGCCCCCCTCCGCATGACACGGGGCACGGCGACCACAGAGTCCAGGGTCCCCAGTTGCCGTCGACTGAAATGACACAAACACCCGAATTACACCCTGCCTACCAATGGAACAAGTGCTCTCGGTGAACACACGCGATACCAGCCTTAAGCTAAAGAGTAGAATACCTGTGGCATTGAAAAGCATTGAAAGTGTTATTTCGGACAAAGGGACAAGGTTGTGGTAGTCGTACCCACTGCGTTTATTTTTGCAGGGATGCTTGTCGTCATGTAACGGGCAGCGGCACTGGCCTTGCAATCCAAAAGTTTCTGGTTCGTTCTCCAAGCGCGGCAATTCGAAACAATGTCCAGCCGGCAGTATAAATGGGTTCGTCGCAATTCGTCGATCGGCCGGTCGGGTGTGGTGGGGTAACGTGTGGGTACAGCACTCCAAACCCTTCCAAGACGTCTGGCCAGCATGGTTAGAGCAAGCCAATTACCCTCTAGAGGGCCTCTATAGAGTTTGTTACAGTGCAGACCCTTCCACCGTTAGTGGCATGAGTGACCAATTGCAGGGCTGCACCTTTATCTTTTTTACCATTTATATTTATTTTTTACTCGGCAAAATAACCCAACGTTGCTCTTTGGTTCTTTCGGTAAAGTCACGTATAAAGAGAAAATAATACATTAAATTAGCCCAACGTTGAACCACTGAAACAATAAAGTGTAGTGTCAAGATGAACATGAAAACAATGGCACTCACTAGGACAGGGTTCTTTGTTGCAGGGGACGTTCTCGCGGCCCTGCCCGTTGCACTCGCGGCCGCCCAGCACAGGGACGGGAGAATTGCAGAGACGGATGCGCGTGGAGACGCCGTCGCCACACGACACGGAGCACGACGACCAGGGTGACCAGTGGCTCCAGCCGCCGTCACGTTTCACTGCGTCGCGCGCAGACACAGAAGCAGCAGCAGCATGACACCCCGCGGGTCCACACGACGATCAACCTTCACGGCGAAAAGCTTCTCGCCTTTAAGGATAACGATTGTTGCATGTTTAGGGCGCTAAAATGACTCAGCAATTCAAAGTGCCCTCAATGTCTCATCTCAACGGTTCCAATACCCTATTGCAGTCGAAACAAGGGGAACCCCCCTGCCATGGCAGCTGTCCCGGTGCGGCACAATGTTAAAAAATGGAGTGTGTTTCAAAAGTATATTTCTAGAAGGAAGTCAACAATTTTTCGTGGGATATTTTTTTTAATGTGTAACGATAGTTCCAATGCTATATGTCTATGAGCACGATACAAATAGATAATTTGTCTCGAAGGTTATGGTGACAATAATGCTGGTCAAATGCATTGGAAATTATTTAAATCTAACAAATCTGGCCCAAATAAAGCAATTATATTTTTTATTAAATGTGGCACATCGGAGCATGTGGTGTGACGATTTGAACTGGAAGCAGATGGGACCAGTTTTAATTGTAAGCATTTATATAGACATAAAACTTTTGACTGGTCAAAGATTTAGTTTCATTCAGAAAATTATCTAAACATTTTAACGGTGATACATTGCAACAGTTAAAATGGCATACTGTACACAAGCGCTTTGAAATAAACTGAGCAAATTTACAATACTCCATATGTTGTAATGTCCAAACTAAGTTGTTGTTGAATACACAGTGTAATCACGCAGTGTGAAAGATGTAGGAAAATGTGAGTAACATAAAGTATGACTTAACATGTAGCTTCGTGTGGCCGACATTACAATTCGTAAACAATTATCAGATACAAAGTTGATTACATGGCACAACTTAAAACTCATGAATGCACAACAAACGGTGACGTTATCCGTACAGATTCAATACGTAAATGCAGTGCATATAATACAAATGGCTAACTGAAAAAAAACATTTAAGAAGAAATAAAATGACAAAAGATGTAAACCCTCAACATTTAAAGTACAGTATTTATTATTTAATAAAAATATTAAATAATCAACATTTGTATTTAGATTTCCAGTAGTAACTCTCCTAAATGTCTGCGAGATGCTACTGTGACACCTGTCCTGAATAAACCACATCTCAGCACTAATTTCCCATTGAAGTTCTCGAAGGTATTCTGTTTTAACACCTGCCTATCTAACCTCTGATGACCTTTGCAATCTGTTTTCCATACTGCCTCTTCCATTGAAGCCAATCGTCCTCATGTTCTCAATTATATCTGAAACTTTGATCGTTATTCCCCCCCCCCCCCCGCCGATATTCTGCCCTCCACGACCTACACGCTACCTCGGATGCCGCTGGCCACACTGTTCTCCGCAAGTGTCATAAGCACAGTGCGTCTGATTCATGGGCGAGTGGAGGTTGTTTCATGTGGGCGGCAAAGAAGCCCGAAAATATTGTTAGAATTTTTCGCCGATATAAACTTGGCTCTGACATGTGGAAAGCATTGAAATGTAAAAAATAAAAAAATTGCAAGGAGACCGGTGCAGAGCAACGCTGGGAGCAGAGCAAGAGGAAGATGATCCTGTCTTCCGCCAAGCAGAATGTCTCTCTCTCTCCGCCCGCAGGCATGAGCACCGGAGGTCGGGTGGGCTGGGTCAAGTCGTGGTGACCCCTTTCCTACACATTGCCACCTGACTCGATGGTCAGCAACATTGTCTAACCAACCTTTCCAGATGCCTTGAGTACCAAGGGATAGGGTTTTTTTTTACACCCCCAACCCTGATAGAAAAATGCCCCCTCTTTTCAATTGGTGGAAAAATGTTGACACCTTGAACAGAATTTTGTTGTAAATATATTCCACTTTAAAAGCCATACTTTGGCTTTCATAAAAGTGCCTTCTTCACCGTGAAGTTGGGGACCCTCAACTGTGAAAAGATTTGTGTGCAGAGTGCCGGATCTGCCTACTTTTGTGCTGTTGAGATTTCATTGGTGGTATAAGAGCTGTGATTAGTAGACCTATTATTCAGACTTCCAACATCAAAGACACTAAGTTATAATCTGGCACGTCTGCCTCTTGTTCTTTAGACAACTTTAATTTAAAGAGCTTGACACAGAGGGGTAAAACACAGAGAGGTGGTTTCTTCCCTTTCGATAGTTATTTTTACAATGTCTGTTCCTGAAGAAGCATATTAACAAAAACTGAAAGCTATTTCTTTTACCTCAGTTTTACTGAACATCCTGTGATTAAAAATTATATGGTACATATTTAATGATGGCAATGATGCACTGAAGCTGATCAACACTGGAGCATTTAAAACTTTTACTAATCCACCGTATGCAGGATTTATCACTGTAAAAGTAATGTTGGAGTTACTATGCAAAAAAATGCAAGCGCCATAGCGTGAAACTTTGCCAACAAAATAATATTTCCTCTTTTGGGAAGAGTTATTATTTGTGCTCGTGCACCACTGCCAGTGTAGTGGTTAAAGGGTGCGTATCTGGGAAATCACAGACACTTTTATGTAACTTACGATTAATAATAAACATAAAGCACTTTCAGGTACAGGAGAGCAAAGGTGTCATATAATGCATGATACTAAATAAGTAAATAACTTTGTATTAATTTTATAACAACATAATGAAACGACCTAGTCAACCCAAAACAATTGATTATGATCAAGACAAGTATAGCCTTGTGACTATGCTGATCGTTTAGCAGAGATAGCTAATGTAGTAAAAGTTATGGAGAAACCTGACTCTATTGTTAATGGCGAGAGTACATTTGAAGGTGAAGATGATAGTGATAGTGTTGCAGGAAATGACGTAAGTTATGTATTATTTTATTCCACTTTTAGAGTCTTAATATGGCCCCACCAAATAGATCCCTGACAGCCTTAACAGAACCCACAGTATAGTGAAGTATGGTAAAAAAAAGCACATGATTGACATTGTGCCCGTCGGTAGATTGAGAACGGCTGAGAGACATATTTTCTCAAGTCTATTTTCAGATTCTATGTAAAAATAATGCAAATGTGAAAGTAGAATTATATAATTGTTTACATAAGCGATTTCCAGAACGATAGCATCTGCTTCTGGTTAAATGGTGACTATTATTCTGCTCTGATCTGGTGATAAATTTGAGGGCCCAGCACTCGCGGCTACTTTGATTGGGTGCCATTACTTTAATAAGTCTATTGGACACAGTGAGCTGGCCTGAGCCTGCCCTGATTCACACCATACACCCGCACTCATCCATCAACTCAAAGCTGAACATTATTTTGCTATGTCCAAGAAAAGAGACCACCTTCATCACGTTTCAGTGAAAACCACTGAAAATTATTTCGCAGTGTATATGTCGGTATAATTAATTTCAATCATTCTATAAATGTACGTGGTTCTATACCTCATCTACGAGGTGAAATGTATTGATTAAAGTTGAAGGAACCTGAGGTGTCCAGGCCATGCTGGAGTCGGCAATGGTGGACACATTCTTTCGTGGGGAAATGGTACATGTAAGAGAGCATTATTCTTTATTGGCACATGTTGTATGCAACTTGTTCACGTGACCCCTGCAGCCACTGGAGGTGCTACTTTCCCCAATAATGTAAGTATTAAAAGATTCTTGAATCGTGCCTGATTGGTTGCCGTGCATTTTGTGCTATCCTTGTGCCACTGTTCTTGTATGTCTTTGTCTCTCCTCTCTATTCTCTTCCCATTCCCCGGTGATTTTGTACTCCTAAGATGTGTGTGCGTGTTAAAGCGCTTGGAGACACTTTGTATTTTAGCGCTCGATAAATCACGATGGCCACAGCCGTTGATGCCACCGCTGCCTCGCCAGCGCTTTTTACCGTCTGCCAGATCCCGCAGCCCTTACAGTATTTCATTATCTGACATTAGCTTTTCCCTTTGGTCGCCGGACTTATGGAAATAATTGCAATGTTTAGACGCAAAACAAAACGCAGATGCTAATTTGCGACAGCCACGGTTGTGACCGTTGTGCGTGCACAGAGTGACTGACGCTCACCCCTCTTGTCGCAGTTCTTGGTGTGGCACTTGCGAATCTGGATGGAGGGCCCCTCGCATGTGCTGCTGATGCGGTCGCAGGAGCGGCCCCTCTGCTGGGAGCCCGTTCCGCACGACACGGAGCACTCGGTCCACTCGGACCACGGGGACCAGCCCTCGCCTTTGTCGACCGCTGGGCACCGCAATGAACACAACACATTAGCTTCCCGGACCTCACCTTTGAAAATCGCCAAACCAAAACGCTTTCTTCACGGTTAAACATAGCTCGGACCCCTTCACAATTTAGATGGAACAACATTATTTCGGATAATGCCCGCGGATGGTCATGTCTTGTGTTGAGTTTGAGGTTTATTAGTTCGTTTAGAAATTTGCTTTTTTAATCACTGTTGCTGAGAACAAATTCAGAGGTCCAATATGCCAAGTGCCCAACAACAATCAGCACTATTGGAAAGGTTGTAATAGAAAAGAGTTAATATCTATTGAATCTACAGCAATGTGTTAGTCCACTGCAATCATGGAAATAGTTTTTTTTTTTAACCAAACTACACTTTGTTCTTTCATTGAGCAAGGTTATACAATCTTAAGAAAAAAGACAGTGGAAGGGAATTCCAAGATGTGGACTCTTTGTTTATCGAGACAGAAATTTAGCGAATAAAAAATGCACGAACACTTTAATGGCAGTCAATAATTCGATATTCTAGAACTTTGGTTAAGCAACCAGTGCAATGTTGTGTGGCGTACTTATGCAGGTTGGGCAACACTCTCCCTCCAGCACGACGGCATTCATGCAGGCAACAGGGGAGCAGGACAACTGGCGACACATGGTCTTGGAGTCCTACCAAGAGAAATTAAAAACAAAAATGACACAAGTTCATAATTACTGTCTTATTTGGCATGTGACCACAGGAATGCGGTACAATTTAATACACTTAACTGTGGAAAACCATATATTCTTGGGTCTTTCGATAAAGTCATGTAGATAGGTTCAAAGAAAATAATAATAAAAAATAACGGAAAACTACGACGTTTCAATCACAACATAAGCAGTCGTCTTCAGGAAAAGGGGGATTAGCTGCCAAGGGAAACTGTTTCTAAGGGTTTTAAATGGGCGTAGCCCAAATGTCAGCAGCCAATGATAATGTAAGTGTCCTGCAGCGAACCCAGTGGTGGTTCGTTTTCCACCAATCAAAGGGTTGCCAGGTGAAAATTAGCATGTTAAAGAGAGATCAGCATGTTAATGGTAGATCGCAGAGCCGCAACCAAGGGGTCGGCACGCGAAGTGACTGTGAAAGCGCAAGTTTGAAATGGGCATAAAACACAACTAACATCGGAAGGTGGTAGGATGGGAACATCACAGCCAATTAAGACATAAACTGGTTGATAACGTCCTTGCAATGATTGCTCAGTTTGTACCCATCTTCTCCGTTGAAATTGTGTCTGTGTCTATATATATGAATGGCTTCATGAACGAATCTTTGTTGATAGCCAGTGGGCTTGCAAAGTACCTTCGCCTTAGAGAAATCAATTTCCTGTGAGCCCACCGCATTAAAACAATAATCAGCCACGGCTGAGGTATTGGTCCTAACGTGTTTAAGATCTGCCTTATGTCCACGAACACGGTCCGAGACATGTCGCTTAGTTTCCCCAATTTATCTACTGCCACAGACACAGCTTAGTTTGTAGATGCCGGGGTATTGCATGTCAGGGATCACATCCTTCACAGATGCGATCAGATCACACATTTATGTACTGTGTTAAATCGAACCTGGAACTTGTGACCCCTGCTATGTATGGCAAGGTGATGGTTTTGTTTGGGTCCTCAGATGGTTCTTTCCCAACTGTTGGGGTGATAGCCTTGTGGAAAACTGCTTATATTGTTTTATGCTTAGGTAATTGTGTGGGGCTTTACGGTAATGGTGAGTTACAGTAATTGATTAAATAGAAACAGGTAAGTTGTTTAACAAATCCATGGAAACACAAATGACAAATACTCCTTGAGAAACATTACAGTTCTTGTGAAAGGCTTATTAGCCAAAGTATTACAGAAATTGTCGTATCATTTTGTGCTTAGAAATAATATGTATTTTCTCGTTAATAGCACAGCTCACCGAAAGAGCGCAGCAATATTTTGCACACTTGCTATTTATTGCTTAAATCCAGCTTGTTGGCCCTTAATCATATCACAAACTCATTATGCGGGCCGATATCTTACATGGAGTGCTGCTGCCAATAACATCTGGTAATTCAGTGACATGTATGTATGTTGAACGATGTATGTTGAACTTCTTTCGCACCGCACGTACTTAACAAGCCTGACTGCTGATGGGACCCAGAACATCAAAATCGGCCCAGGGTTTGCCTGCTTAAACAAATGGTGCTTGATATTGTTCAGGATATCCAATCGGCTGACGGAAAACACGTGTGTATGCGTATGTATATCTATTTGTATGCTGTTGAGCTTTCATAAACACCGAATTGACTTCTGCTTATATTCGATCGTACCAGTTGCATTGGTTTAAGGGATCAGACTCGGTGGGTTGAGTCCAAGGCAGCTTTGTTTATAGAACTGCTGCCAGGATGCATTCTGTGGCCTCACAGCCAGAGACAAGATGGGCACCACACCAGACCGGCTACCAGCACTGACGTGTTGAATCTGACTCATCCTTAAAGAACATCGTCTACTCGTGCACTTTGTATCAAATCACGAAACATTTACTAACAAAGCATATATTTGTAGAAAAGTAAACGATGCATGGTTGCAAGAAAAAAAAACACCTCCCGAGGATTACGAAAATGTAAAAAAAAGCGCACACACGTTCTCCAAGGCATTTATTAACTGCAAAGGCTGCTTTTTGGACTACAGCCCAGGACCATGAGTTATAAATGAAAGAATATTTTAAAACACGTAATTTTGCATTTGTTTTTTTGGAACAATTCCCCCAATATTTTTCTTAAAAATGTACAATTCTCGCTTGAATAGCAGGATGCTGCCGTGGTGCGATGGTTATCCACAGGTCACCGGTTTTATCTCCCGGTGCGGCAGTTGAAACAATAGATGCATTTCAAACCCCCCCCCCCCTCACCTCTATCCACCCAGCAATATCAATCGATCCACCATAGTTAGTCGATCGGCAAATCACTGTTGGTGGGGTAGTGTGACGTGACACCCATCCCTTTCAAGATGTCTGTGCATTGTGGAACATGCAATCCAATACCCTCTAGAGAAGCTCTCTAGAGCTCCCTCGAGTGCATTGCACACCAGCAGCGGTGTGAGCAAGCAATTTGCAGGGCTGTATTTATGTACGTTGGAACTTCTTTTGCACCGTATGTAGCCAATCCGTACTTGATTGGCAGCCACTGGTGACTTCACTGAAGTACTGTGTGTGGCTTCTTTGAAACCACGTGGGCATGCAGTCGCCCCACCCACCTGGCAAGTGCAGGAGAAGCAGCTGTCCACCGTCCACTCGGCGTGGTTCTCGTAGACTCGTCCATCGTGCCAGCACATGCCCTTCTCTGTGATGCCCAGGCTGCGATGCAGCTTCGTATTCTCATCACTCTGCTCACCGGAAATGTACAGAGAATAAAAATAATGATGATGAGAATCAACAATGTAATTTGTTCATTCACAATACTCGTTTTTAGGAGGGTCCTGCCTTTTAAAGGAGCGTATCATATTTGGGAGGAGAAAAGAGTGCACTGAAAGAACTCACCACGCACACTCAGACGGGCCGCACAGACACGCCATAGTCATCGCCAATCTGCAATCTACCAACCTTTGCCTCGAAAGCGCTGAATTACAGGCACACGCATGCTGTAAATTGTTTTCCCCACTGTATAACGATACAAGTTTTATTTATATATTTGTCTGTGCTCAAAACGTGGAGGGGTCGACTCAGATTTCCTAAAGCATTCCAACTCACTCGTCCAGCTCTTTATTTAATAATTGTTGGTCTCTTTCCCATCTTCAGTTACAACTACGAAAGGTGTACATGCTCGCCTATGTTTTACAGCTGGGTCCCTCTGACAGAAAACTAGCCCTCTGTCTCTCTGCGATAATCTACGGTGATTTTCCTATAGATTGATTAGCCCCACCATAGTAATGTGGAATTTCCACCACTTGTTCGGGAACGTAAGTGGACGTATTACCCAGCATATGTGCGACACAGCACAGACTTTCACACACCGAGAAATCTCGCAAAGTTGAACGAGTGCTCATCACATTCCAAGTGTGGAAAAGTGATCCGTTCCCTGAGGCCCAAATAATTTCTCCAGGATAATTGTGTTGGGATTGCACATATACACTTCATAACTTGAACTCTGCTGGAAACCATCAGTATTGGCTTTGCTACATGACCAAAATTGGAATTAGAAACCCTTTTGGCAGTATTAGTAGTCCTGGCCTCTTCATTGAGGCTCATATCAGCGATGTCACCAGGGTCTCTGTCACCTCAGAGATATTACTAACGCCAGGCTTTGTTTGTCCTCATCAGATGCCAAAGAAGATGATTCAGACTTTATTTAATTTAGAATAAATGATTGCAATCCTCTTCCGATTGAAATATCTGACTTTACAAGTCCTGGCTACCAGTTGCACAACATGTTCTGCCAGAGATCTGACAAACGTTTGAAAAATTGTTTCACGTGACTCCAGTTCTGCCCTTGCTGCAAGGCTCATTTGAGTAGAATACAGCGTATTTGAAAAAACTGGACCCAATTTCAAAGCAGTATATTCACGATGGCAACATGTTACAATTACACAAAAAGTTACACACGGTTTAATGAGTTGTCCAGTTTTACTAACCATTTTATAAATGCTCTATGTGCCCTCCACCTGCTGTACGGACAACATCGAGATGATAGTTGAATTCGTCCCAAACGCCTCTCGTCTCACGTTTTACTCTGAGGTGCGTGGTCGCCCTGTGCTCTTTCCCTTACATAAACAGCAGCCTGCTTCGTGAAATTGTCGGTAACAACGACAAATGCTCTTTGACTTTGGCGGATCAATGCCAAAACGCCGTTGAAACGCACGCTGCACCGCAATTACGGATTCAGTCTTGCTGAACTGCAGAACGCAAAACGCTTTGTGTTGCGGGGTCACCATCTTGCGAATGACTGAGGCTAGAGGCTGTTTGTGGGCTGGGAGAGGCATATCGTGGTAATCATTTGAAACTCTGTGCCCCGCCCTATCTATGCCCCGCCCTTTCAAGTGGTAAGAATTTCATTCATGGGCGGTTCATGGTTGCAGAGATATAGCGATTTCAAATTAGGTCCATCTTCTTAAAGCTCCCTGCATATCAAAGGTCTGATTTTCACTGATAATGCTCTGAATGGTCTCAAACCTTCTTACCTGAGCTCCTGTTTCTTTATGTCCTAGGTTATTTGTTATGTTGACAAGACACTCGCCTATTACGGCTGTCTTGGTTCAAAATACAAACCACGGGGGGTGGATCATTTTGCCCATCTATGTATGTCCTGATTTGAAGCTTTCGTAACTGCAGGAATCCATAAATTAAAATAAAATTGTATACCTACGTGACTTTACCGAAAGAACCAAAGAGTATTATGTCCTGTGTCGAAGGTCCATTGCTCAAAACGTCGTCGTTCTATATATATATTTTAGGCAGTGTTGTTGATGAACGTGTTGATTTTTTGTTAATCATGTTTTCAAACGGCACAAAAAGAGACAATTAATAATAGCACATAGCATATCCAACTCGCTGAACGGTTTGATTTGTGAAAATCTAAAGAATACGACGTCATAGTTATACATGTAAATAACTTGATGTTTTGTTTACAGACCAAACAAGGCCTATTACTCGAGTTGGAAGAGTGAATGGAGAGTAGACGCAGGATGCGATGCGCCATACCAGATTCTGGATGTCATCCACAAGGTTGCTCACGATGACGCGGAGTCCCTTCATCTCGGAGAACATGTGTGTAACATCCTTGCAAGAGTAGTCACAGTAGCCAGCTGGCTCCAACGTCTTGCCCATCTTCTGGCCCAAGATGTTATTGACAATGGCAGAACTCGTGCTCTCAAGTCCAGCCTGTTCCAAGGGAGCAAGGACCAGGCCATCTGGGAGAACATAAAGCAGTGGGGAATGTTCCTCTGTGAATAACCCGCCACAGCAAGAAGCCAAATCGCTGACCTCAAACCGTATCGCATGACAAGTTTCGCTCATATCTCTTCCTGTAAGAAACATCATAATTGTATCACATATTATGCAATGAAACTCCCCGTCTGCAACTCTGTTCTGAGCAAATCCTCGAGATCCGTGGGTACGACTCGATAAATGACAACCGTTATCTGCAAAATTATTTTTCACCATTTGTCAACAATCACAGTTTAGAGGAGTAACACAGAAGTGATCACAGTGGGAGTTAACTTCATCTTGTTATGCGCGGGGTCCACGGATAAGAAGACTCCATACGGGGTTGATTTTGATTATTATATGCAGATCCCCTAAATCTACTGACCTCCTACACTCCTGGGTAAACAAGCATTGGAATAATTATTTAAACACCATCGTAACTCATAGTGGATAATTAATTGGCATGTATTCAATAACACGGTCCTATTACAATTGTGCAGTTTGGTGCAACTTGCTCAACAAATGATTTTGCACCTTCTGGGGCCCAAATTCTCGTTGCGTTTTCGTCTGTCGTTTCGCCACTTTCTGTCACGGAAATTTCTCACATTTCCTTACGAGTTTATAGGGTGGAGATTCATTTGGAGGTTTCTGAGAAATTCTACTGAGTGTTTGATGTTTTATGTTTATTCCACAGGTCTGGCCACACTACGCTTTGCACAGCAGGGAGCCGTCCCCCATAGCTGATCTGTACGCCACATTTGTTTTGCCGCTCTGTCCTTGCCAAATCTCCAATGGTTTGTGTGGCCCTCGGGGGTCCGAGAATGCTCAGCTGAAACTCTTACTTTCCACGCATTCGTTGAAATAAAGTGGGGCAAAATTTCACGGTGGTTTAGTCTCGGTTAGCACGGTTGGCTAGGTACGTTGCGAAATAAGTTCAACGTAAATACATGTAAAATATAGGCCTGCTAGTGATTTTGCAGGAATTTGTAACGTTCAATGGAATGGTATACCAAAACAATCTGTCACATCAGCACAAATACTGTATACCTTCACTCACAGAAAGAAAGGGATCTATTTGATGAGCTCAAATGTCAAAGGTTTACATTTTTTCTAATTAGAACATGAGGTAATATTTCAGTCAAGGTGTGCTTAAAGCATATGCTTTGGCAATCTAGAGCCAGTGCTGGAACTTGCATATTCCTGTGGTATTCATGGAACAATAAAGTACGGTATTTAACATTATTCCATCTCTGACATCAGCTTAACTGGGGTAAATTTAACTATAAGTAGAAAGTTAGGACTTATCAACCACACACCTCGTCCTCGAACACAGAGAGCAAAACAGATTTCCTCAAACAAAGTATGTGCTCATTATCGGTTGCTAGTTCTCAACAGTTTATTTGGTGATAACGTTTGAGATCAGAATAGTCTTATTTTCAAGAGTGATCTGGGCTTGATGTGAGTTCCAATAGGTGATTGGAAGACTGATGTTCTGATCATAGGCAGAGTTGACTTCTATATTTGGAGGGGTGGGGGGGGAGGGTTCGCCTTGTCCCTCACATTAGGAATCGCGGGTGCATATAAATAATGTATGTTTAATCGTAATTGTAAACTATTGAAAATAAATTCATAAAGGTGTCCAGTTTGGGAGTAGGGGGAGCCGTGCCACCCATGGTTGTGATAATGAGATACCGCTTGAGACTTCCAACATTAAAACTGCAATATTTATGTGACATTTAGATGCAGGTTTAACTGAAAATACCGTTACTTTTTACAATATATATCACGTGCTATGTACGCAATGATGCTTTTATTACAACGGGATCACTGAAGTAAAACACGAAAATAAATAAGGAAAGCAATTTAATTTCAACAGAAACCTAAATGACCCTGTTTACATGATTAGTATTTTGTAATGGCCTTTTAAAAAGTCAAGGCTGTCGCTTAGCGGACGTAGAGGACGTGTCCTTGGCATGCTTGCTGCAGAAAAAGTAAACAATAGAAATAAACAATGACAGTGGCGATGTTTGACTCACTCTTTGGCGGTGACTTCCCGAGCCAACGAACCTTCAACCGCCAGCCCCAACTAACTCCATCCAATCCCTACCTCCATCCCGTGGCGCCGCTTAACCCAGCATCTGTGCCATTTCCTCCACCTCCTTGTTAATTTTTTGATTGGAATACCCCTTTTGGAGCTTGCAACACTAACGTTGATGGTGGTTAAGGGCTTTGCAATTCATATCTCTCTTGGTTGTGTGAACGTGAGTAAGCATCTTATGGTGTCTGTACGTATACACGGCGTGGTTTTGGTGTAAAAGATTTCTGATGCAAAAAAATGCATTTACACTATACACAGTTCATATCAAATTCCCGCCTAAATGTTGACGCCATTTATATTTCTAGTCCTTTACAAACACATGTTAGACAGGTACGTTTGCATTGTTGTTGTTATAATTAGCAGTGATTATTTGGGACGGATATGAGGTAGCATTATGGCAGTTCTAGACAGTTCAATTTATACTTTTATATGCTAAACATCCCGTGGCAGTAGACATAACACAGTCTTAAACCCTTCTGGAAGAGTTTAATATTGAGTTGAATGATTGTATATACAAATGGATATACGTAATTTTACCAACGTTTATAACACAACACAGTCTGTGTTGGTAATGTCACCACATTTGTTGCTTTCTTACAGCGGACATCAAAATGAGAAGACCACATTACATTATAAGGATAAAGGTGCAGCTCTGAAATGTTTTGCTCATTGCACTGCTGGCGGAAGGGTCCTCCACTCGAGGGAGCTCGAGTGAGCTTCTCCAGAGAGTATCGTATTTGGCTGACTCTTCCATGCTGGCCAGACATTTTGGAAAACGTGCGAGCATCCACACTTTAGCCGACCATATGCGGACTGCCGAGCAACGGTCTCGTAACCGTTTGTAGAGGCGGTGGAATTTAAGAAACGTGTGTCCATTGCTTAACCAACCACGCCGGAAGTTCGAACCGGTAACCTCTGGTTTGCAAGTGCAGTGTGCTCACCACGCTGGAAGCATCCCAGTTAATACCAAACGATGAATGTCTTCTCGCATGCTTTGGTGCACAACAAGTTATCATGCTAATCTGGACGCTCCTATAGAGCCACGCCTCGGGGATGTAGCTTTACACCTTCAAGAGATTATCCACTTTCACCGCTTTAAAAAAGGGACCACGCGGCATTTGCACACACGCACAGACGAGCAAATGGGAAACAAATGTAAAACACGCGCCCCTCCCTCCACGTTGCGCGCTCTCACCGGGCTGGGCAGCGAGTGGACATCCTCTGTTGCGGAGAAGCTCCTCCACGGCCATGCCAAAGATGAAGTGCATGTTCTGAAGCGAGCCCTGAACACACAGAGGCACGGAAAGGTGTCACTTGCAAACTCGCAGCCAGGGCTTCAGTTCGCAAACGAACGCTCCTTTATTTCCACACTTATTTAATAAGATATACAAGGGTTGATGGATCACACAAAATGTTGTGAAGCTCCATTCCCATAGGCGTCGATGTACCAAACCTGGGCTTTCCAGGAGAAAGCGCTACATCAAATGTAAACTCTTGATGTGAAGCTTTCGTGACTGCAGGAATCCATACTATTTGGTTATTTCGGTAAAGTTCCACTGCTGGATTATTTTTTCTGCCTGGGGACGACTGATTGTGTTGCAATCGAAACGTCGTGATATATTATTTTTTGTTTTATTTTATTTTATTTTTCTACCTACGTGACTTTACCAAAAGAACCAAAGAGTATCAGATGTAAACACCACCTGTTCCATCTGTATGGGATCGAGTGTTGCCCCCTCACACGCATGTGTGGCTTCCAGGTGTTGTGGTTTCCTCCCACATGTAAACACTAATTAATTGGCTGACAACACCTTAATATGTAGAGAACTGCGAGAGCTTGGGGGGAATTTGGTGCCGGCTCACCCCCTGGCTACTGCTGCCACCGTACCGCTTGATTGTGGCTCCTCAAGCCTCTGAATCGTCCTCTCTCTCTTTCTACTCCATACGTGTACAAATACGCTGTTACGGTGCATTATAAGGTGAAATTATCATGATAATTGTGACAATTATTTATTCTGACTCGATATTTTCCCTGTACGCCACTATGCTGGCTTGAAAAAGAGATCATTGGCATAAGACATTGCCATGAGAGTACAAGGTGCATCTATCCCTAATCATCCCATATTATTGTATCCAATATCCATGTAATCGTAAACAGAGGTTTATAAACATTAGATGCCTGGACGTCGAATTTGGATGGAGTGTGCCAAAATAATTATCAGAACAACGTTCTTGACTATCCCAGCTGAAATTGATCAAAACCAGAATCTTTGTTTATTCTGGAAAAAAAACGATGACTTATGACGCTCTTTTTTACAGATGTCTAGTGCTCACTGCTTGCACACACGCAATAAATTTCACTTTCGTCTGCACTAAAAACGTGCGGATGTATTACTGTTATAAGAGGAAACAATTTGGCACGTGTTCGTTTAAAACGACTTCCCTGCTGAATGAAAGCCTCTCAATGCCGTGGAGTGGTGGCTCTCACCTAAATCTGATTTCACTATGAACCCTGCGAGTGGTTTCTGAACTGATCCTGGATACCCCCCTTCACTAACCCTCCCTGACTAACGTGGTGAAGTATGGTCAAACAACCCCCATGACATGCAGTTGTGCGAATACCTTCGTCCAGCAGTGGATTGACGAATGAACACATCGCAGATATTTATCAAGCGCACATTCTTGCAAATGAGTACTGTAAAGTATTCCTTCACTTTATAAGAAAACGCCGACGTGATTGTGCGAAAGCACCACAAAGTTCAGTATTTCGCCACACATCACTCGTAACAAAGGGTCCACCAAGTGGAACTTCCAAGATAATCGGCATCACAGCAGGGAGTTCCTCAGACCTCAAAGGGAGGCGTTGGTTGTGTGGCTCACCTTGAAGTCGTCATCCTTGACCATGCCCTTGGCGATGTAGAGACGGCTCTGCGGGCCGGACAGCTGCTCGTAGAAGGGGCCCTCCAGGATGATGTTCTCGACGAGGTCGCAGCCGATGAAGAGCCTGGCGTGCTCGCCGCTCACGTGCAGCGTCAGGTTCTGCCAGTCGCCGTTGGCCAGGTCCACGTCCTCAAACGAGACGACGCTTTGCATGCCCTCCACGGAGTAGGCGAGGTCCAGGGTGTTGGCGATCCCGTTGGAGACGATCTGAAAGCGGCGCGCCGACGAGGCCCCGTCCTGCGTCTGGACGCTCACGAGGGCGCCGCGGGTGCGCGCGTCCTGCTGGATGGAGGCGACGAACACGAAGCCCTCCTCGTCCCGCATGAGCGCCAGCAGGCGCTGCAGCTGCTTGTCCGAGGCAGCGGGGATGCGCTCGGGGCGCACCACGCGGTAAGCGGAGCTGTCCGGGTCGGGGCCCCGCACCAGCCGCACGCCGCTGTTCCTGCGGTTGAGCTTGCTGATCTCGAACAGGTCAAAGACGGGGTTCTCCTCCGTGCCCAGGTCTGTATCGTCGGCATCGTGATCGCCGTCGTTAGTCAACTTCATCAACGACATCATCAGCAGAAGCATTGCTATCATCGCCATCGTCTACCCTAGCCACCCTTGCAAACGATACGTTCCATTTGAAGGGATGATTATTATCCGGGTAAAAATACTCTCAAACGTTAAACCAAACAATGAGATCACAATAATTGACAAATGATAACTCATTCCGCATTAAACATATGGAAAAAACACTATTCCCTGCATTATATCCACATATAAACACGAAAGTTTGATCCGTAATATATTGATCGCGAAAACCTACGTATTAAATTGACTAAAGTTAGAGTTCGTCAGCCTATCTATATAGCTAGTGGCTTTCCAGACGTTTGCGCAGCGCACTTTGTTAGAATTGCAACGTGGAAACAATTTTGTGGAATGTGAACCAAGTAACGGAATTGTCTCGTGTCCGTTCAAGATATCGTGAAGAGCGCGACCGCCACTCACCTGAGCCGTGCATCACGGGGAAAAATGCTACGAAAAGGGTCAGGAATGCCCATCTCTTCTGCCGCATGGCGTCCCTGGAGGTTTGCGGTCTATTCCCGTAAGGCACACGGAATGGGAAAAAAATTAAACACATTATTTGGTGACGCGTCGGCAGTGGTATGCAAGCACAACAAAAACAACAACTTATAAACTCAACACATTCAACAAGAACACTGTTGCTCTTGAATGACAATATGTGACGTTTCGGATAACGGCCCTTCTTCACAGCACATTGACAGTTAGAATGAATAAGAGTTGAAGACAGCATCATCATCATCATAGCGTCAAGTATGCTCAAATTACCCCTCTCACGACTCAAACACAGCTCAAATATACAACGGTCAGCGTGTACTGCAAATATTCAAGCCGTGCTCAATGCAATCCGCGCTCAAGAATGTAGCGCGCTCTTCCTTCCGACATTAGTCAGCCACTGGAGCTATGCACTTTTAAATCATCTATAGATTGAAAACTCACGCGTTAAGAACCGCAATTGGTGTATTTAGTCTGTTGTCCTTCCCACGCACCTCCGATTACCACGGTTGGCTACGAACGGTGCGAAAGAAGCCCCAACAACGACCATGCTACGTACGGCGGACGAGTTGAGCTTTTGCAAAAATCAAAAATCCCATCCCTACCTCGCCGCAGTGCCGACGCTGCAACGCGCGTTCCTGGAGCCGAGACCCACTCGCAAACGTCCTTCCTCGTGAAGCTCCCTCTGCAAACCACCCACTTGAGTCGCTTCAAACTGCGCCGAGTTTGAAGTCGACGCCGAACCTCCAATTCTCAGCTTGCGAGTGCCGGGTGGAACTCGCGCGTGAGTGTGCGAGCGAGCGAGCTGCAGATTCCTCTCGCCGGAGCCTCCTCCCTCTCCGCCTTTTATAGACTCGACGCGCCGTGCCGAGGGAAGAAGACCCCCCCCCACCGCCGCCGCCACTCTCCACTCCCCCCCCCCACCGCGTGCTGTTCCAGCGCGTGGAATCCGGGGCGCGTCATAACACAGCCAGGCAGCAGCAGTAGCAGCAGGGAGGTCTGTCTGGAGGGCACAGGGGGGGGGGGGGGCAGGTAGTGGGGAATTCTCACCTGGTTGGTTGGTGTGGGGTGGGGATGCGTTGGGCAGGGCGCTCACTGTGAGTGGGGTTCACATTGGCGAGGGTTGCTCCGTGTGTGGGTGTGCTTACTGTGGGCGGGGGGGGGGGGTCACTGGGAGGGTCATTGTGTGGGGCCGGGGGGGGGGGCGTACTGTGGGGGGTCGGTGAGGCCACTCTGGGTCATCATCATCATCACGATCCATGGGCAGATAACCTCTTGGTGTCCACTGCTCATTTCGCGATGTATTTCCACTTGCCTTTGTCTTGTGCCAATATGCTCAAGTAGTGAAAATCTTTCTGGCAGAAATCTCTTGAGTGTGGTGGGGTGACAATATGAGGACGGGTAATGACTGTGGAGTGGTGGGTGGGGTCACTTTGGGGGTCACGGTGGCTAGAAATGTTAATTATCTCGCCTGGTATGCAGGAGGTTGCGGGTTCGATCCCGACCCTGCTGCCTGTATATTTGGGGTTTGCGTGTCTCTCTCTCATCATCATCACGGTGGCTAGGAGATGTTAACTACCTCGACTTGTATACATGGGGCATGGGTTCGATCCAGACCCTGACGCCTGTTGCTGGATATTTGGAGTTTGCATGTTCTCCTCGTGATCGCGTGGATTTTTCTCCGGCCCACCCCCCCCGACATTTAGAATCAACATCACGTGTTTCGAGTATTTGGCCGCTATACATTTCCAGGTGATGATAATAAAGCCACTTCGTTGAGCTATCACTTGTGGCCAGGTCAAGTAAAATAAGTAACAGTTTATAATAGTCGTTATAGTTTACTGCATGTGTGTTGGGGGGCTCACTCTGGGTGTGGACTCTGTCTGGGGGGGTCACTCTGCGATCAGTGGAGTCCCCAGTTCCCCAGCAACACGAAGCATGGTACCTGCCGTAGAGGCCGGATCTGCCGTGCTACTCTCTGTGTGCCAGTGAGTGCATGCGGTCGGCCTGGATAAATCATATTAATTACCCCCTTAATTGTTGCTCTGCACGATTAACTCTGGGAAGTGGAAGACAGCCACCGCGTGTGAGTTAAGCCCAAACGCATTTGTGTTGCGTTTGGAAAGTGCCGAGGCTGCCGAAATTCTATCGTCGGTTGGGCGCCCCCTATCAGGGCGAACCGCGCCAGCAGCCGCAGCTGCTCCCAGTTGGCATTAAAGTCCTCATCACAACGCACCCCAACATCAACACGATGAAATGGTGAAGCGACGCGCAGCGTTAACTGTTATGAATGCGTGAACGGGATTACGTTGCAGAATAGGTTCTAGGCGATCGTGACACCGGACCGCCATCTCAAGAGACACTTTGCCTTGGTACACTACACGATACATTGCTTATTTTGTATATATATAAAGTATGGGATGTCACCATGGTGTTTCTTGGTTAGCACACTGAGCTTGTAATCCAGAGGTAGCCGGTTCTATCTCCAGGCGCGGCAGTTGATCCAATGTGGTAGGTTTCCTACCTCCTGTCTCTGTCCAGCCAGCAGTATCAATGGGTAGACCACAGCTCGTCGAGATATCTGCCTGGCCTTTGAACCCACACAAGGATTAGCACGATTGGTTACGTACGGTGCTAAAGAAGTTCACCGTACGTACGTACATGCACGTATGGTGATTTGTGAACCACCCTAACGGTGTATATTGTGGGTCACCCACAAGGGTGGACATTTCCACAGGTTTTTTTTTTATAACTATGAGTAGTAATGAGCCATATCCTCTGAAGAAGTGAGGCTGGATTATTTACAAACAATCTAAACTGGCCGCCCATTGCAGGCAGGTGGAAGCCACAACACCGTATGTCACAGTAGCCAAAAAATAACATCGTTTTGGACAATATCCCTGCATTAATTTCCACCTCAATTAAATGAAGCATTTTAAAGATCGTGTGAGTGTTCTGGATGTACTGCGAGTTTTGAAACTCGAACCAAGTTGTAACAACGTGTACACTTTGAAATTTCGAACACTTTGTAGGGTGCATAACTTTCATTTGATCAATGTGTCATTTTGTCGACCATTTCATATGTTAATAAATGAAAGGGCAAATAATTGTACAAACAAAATACTTATCACATAGCTAACAGATACATCGAGCATCGGTTTATGGGAAATGGCAGGAAGTAGATCATTTGAAGTAACATTCGGAACCGTTCTGTCCCAGTCCTGACCTTGTACTCGCAATAGATTTGTTTTGACTAACACTGCTGCTTGGCACTCCAATTGAACTTTCATCCTTCCTTGGCTGGACAGCACAATCCCTCCTGCTGATGAAGCTCCCCGCTTCCATCTTGGCACTATGAAGTCCAACTAGTTTCACGGTGGTGTGTGTGTGTGTGTGTCAAAACAACGGAAACATGGGTTTATAACGCTGGCCTGAGAGACGACAACATATATATTTCGGGAAATGTCTGGCTCTGGCTGTTTTTTATTGCCGTTGCCTGAAATGTCACCTACCGCATGGTTCCTCTTGAGGGCAGTGTTCTTGACGAAAGTGTTCCGTTTTTGTTATTTGTGTTAGCCAATGCAGCATGACTTTGTTAATATCCAAATACATTTGTGATTGCAAATTCCCTTTAAACTGTAAAGTGCCGACATTACGAGATGCACACGGGAATCAGATGTTACCTACTGGGTATTTTGAGAAATCTACAAGACCCACATGGTGTAAAGTGTGGTCAAACAATCCCCGTGATTGACAACCGCGTTGGTAGGCATTTATTTCAGCGGTGAATTGAATAAAGGGCTGTAAGATATGTGTACGTATTTATTTGGTATGTTAACAAGTACTGCCATTCAACGTGCAAGCTTAAATTGTCCATTCAAGATCTGGCTTGGTGGCGCTTGTGATTTGAGCACGAGTCTCACAATTTGAAGCTCGTGAGCTCACATCCTGGTTGGGGGTTGACGCAGCCTGAGTTCATTGAGTCCATTTGGTGGGGAATCAACAGTGGCTGCCTTGTAGAACGACTGAGCTTCACCACAGGAACATAGGAATTTCCACTGCTGATTCTCGTAACACGACGCTGATAGCACAATGGAATAAAACTGAGGGGGGAAAACGAGTTTGAATTCGTGAAATCAATTAGTGGTATAGCCATTTATACAGAAATTAACTTGTAGACCTATCTGCATAGAAGATTGAATAGTCTTATATATATCGGTGTGAGTATCCTCTTGTAAACCGGTTTTGTTAATACAAAAACACTATGAAGAATTTGCCAAATCTAGATGAAGCGAGGATGAGAGTGCCAATAACACCACGTTATGATGTCAAAGTTAAGTCCAGCTACATTAAATGATGCGCATCATCTTGGAAAACTCTACGACTAACGCCTCTACTATGGCTTCTAGTTCTGAGCAACATTGCTGCCCCCAACATCCGATGGGAAGTCGCAACTAGCGAGCTACTGGAGAAGATCAACGCCAACCAATGCCTGCCACGACCCGAAGATCTCCAAAAAGAAGTTCAACATACGTACATCACAACACCCTCTGCTATCCACACAGCCGCCAGGACTGCTTGGCAGAAACTGTCTGGCAGGAGGAATAGAGGGCAAAATCAGCACTAAACCATTTCCTTTTCGCAGACCCTCCACCTGCCTGCAGCCTGCCAAGCCGTAAGCGGGCCCTGCTGAACAGGTTCCTGACAGTCAACCTCCACGGCTGAGGTCTTCATGACCTGCTGCTGTGGCAGTTTGACAAAGTTCAGCGAGAGCTGCATATGGCGAGATCTACAAACGAATCTTATGGCGGGACCCCGGGGTCCCATAAGCCCCCAGTTCTCGCATAAACTGCGTTGCGACGTAATAATACGTCTGTTGAAGGCGAATGACACGGCAATTTATTCCTCTCGATGAGCTCTACACGATGCGCTCAGCAAAGTTTCAAAGTTTTGTTGATGACTACGGCATTTGTCCTCTGTGTGCGCGATGGGACGGAGTCGCCAAAAGTTAATTAACTAATTGCGATTTTGATTACCGTTTATTCGGGGTCTCGGGGTCCCGCCATAAGGTTCATATGGCAAGAGCTAGCTAACATATGGCGAGAGCTAACACATGGCGAGAGCTGACACATGGCGAGAGCTGACACATGGCGAGAGCTGACACATGGCGAGAGCTGACACATGGCGAGAGCTGACACATGGCGAGAGCTAACACATGGCGAGAGCTAACACATGGCGAGAGCTAACACATGGCGAGAGCTAACACATGGCGAGAGCTAACACATGGCGAGAGCTAGCTAACACATGGCGAGAGCTAGCTAACACATGGCGAGAGCTAGCTAACATATGGCCTCCAAGGAAGCCATCGTGTGGCTCGGCAATTACGCACTGGCTGGATTATATAGTTTGTTTAGGTAGCACGCCACATTATTATGGCTTCTATATTTACATAGACCAAAGCGGCCAGGCATCGGTCCTGCATGACCATGTTGGTTTGAATGTGGCACCTCATCTATATTTGTTAACCTCATGCATCGTGTCCATCGTGGTGGACTCCTTATGCCTTTTAATGAGTACCTTGAAAATATATGAACAAATGTCAACACATTTGAAGAGTTCCTCTGACTCCTAAAGTAACACTGAATAACTTTTTTCTTTAAATCGTGAATGTGGGGGTTGAGCTCTAAAGACAAAAACGTCCTTCCTCCAAACTTTCAGATGTGAAAAAGCAGTGTCCAACAACTAACCTAAATTTACTAAGCACTTGGAACACTGATTCTACACTGGTTACAAAAAAAAGAATATCGCATGCCACTGGAGGAATG